CCCTGAGTGCCAAGTAAAGATCTAAATTTGAAGCTCTTCACAGGTATATGGTTAGGTCTCTATATGAGTGAAAAATTCTCAAATTGGATGTAAAACAACATACAATCAATCAATCATCCCCCTCACATCGACCTCTCTTAGTCTTTAAAGATTAATTAATTTACAAAGATTCCAGTGGCGTAGCTGCCATTAGGCACTTAAGGCACGTGCCTACACTTGATTTTTTTTTTCAGAAAAAAACTTAGAAACAAAACTGTAAAAAAGAAAGAAAATAATAGTTAACTGACTGTTTCACTGTAGGACTTTTTATAAAATGTCTTGAAAATTTCTATATGGAAGTACATGTAATTAAATGTAGATATAAAACTCCCCTGATGCTCACAAGATATGTTTTGTGTGGTACATGTATTAATTTTCATTTTAATTAATAATTAATTTGAATTAACAGCAATTAACTTTTTTATGGCTGTCCACCCGAATTTACCACTTCTTTGTGGATAGACTAGATTAGCTTTTTTCTGAAAAGAAAAGTAAATTTTTTCATTATTTATTGTTTTAAATTTGATTACGCCAAAAAAAATATGAAAACTCTTCTAACTAAAGATTTCTGGTTAAAAAGTTGGACTGAACTTTCCTAGCTTTCTACTTAATATGAAATTTCATTTTAAAGAGACCCAGAATTTTGTAGTTTAAATGTCCAGAATTTGTCAGCCAGGGGTCTTAAAATCGTGAAATCCATTTTCCGCCGGGGGGCTTCGCCCCTTGAACCCCCCCTTCCAGGGCGCTGCCCTGGACCCGCTGGGGGCTTTGAGCAGCCCCCAAACCCCTTGCCGCACATAGGATAATTTGTGCCTATACTTCATCAAAGTTCTAGCCACGCCCCTGGATACAGTATTTTTGTCTCATTTTCATTTATCTATTATTACAAGAGGCCCAAGGGCCTTGAATCGCTCTTCTGATAAACTGTACAACCTATCACTTCTATCTGAAGCCTCTAAGTATCCTGTATATTTAGATAAACCCTTGAAATTCGAATTCACACTCTGAGAACCCAAGATGATTCTAAGCCAAATAGTACCTGAGAGTTGGTCATGGTGACCTACTTATCACTTGTCATTCTCTGAGGACCCATCAACTAAGTTTGATGACTCTAAGCCAATCAATACCTAAAATATTTTTTTAAATTATCACCATAAAATTTTATATGTAGGTCAAAGTGACCTGCTATTCAGTTGTTGTACTCCAAGGACCCAAGATGCATCAACTGACAAAGTTTGATGATTCTAATCCAATTAGTACCTGAAATATTTAATTAAAGCCATAAATTTTCAAAAGGAGGTCACAGTGACCTACTTTTCAGTCGACCTACTCCGAAGACCCAAGATGCATGAACTGACAAAGTTTGATGATTCTAAGCCAATTAGTACCCAAAAATATTTAATTAAAGCCATAAATTTTCAAAAGTAGGTCACAGTGACCTACTTTTCAGTCGACCTACTCCGAAGACCCAAGATGCAAGAACTGACAAAGTTTGATGATTCTAAGCCAATTAGTACCCAAAAATATTTAATTATAGTCATATAAATTGAAAAGTAGGTCACGGTGACCTACTTTTCAGTTGACCTTTTTTCAGGACCCAAGATGCATCAACTTACAAAGTTTTATGATCATAGGTCTTAAAATGTCCAAATTATGCCTCTAAAACGCTTTGAAATCGAATGCCTGCAAAGTTCAAAAAGTAGGTCACTGTGACCTACTTTTTAATAAATATGTTTTACGGCCCCAAGATGCATCATCTTACAAGATTTAATGATTCTAAACCTCTCGGTATTTGAATTAATGACCTTAATTGTTTTGAAAAAGATTAGCCATAAAGTTCAAAAAGTAGGTCAAGGTGTCCTAATTTTTAGTTGACGTACTTTGGGGACCCAAGATACATCAACTGACAAAGTTTGATGATCATAGGCCTTAAATTGTTCAAAATATGCCTCTAAATCATTTTGAAAAAGAATGGCTGCAAAATTTTAAAAGTAGGTCACCGTGACCTACTTTTGAGTCAACATGATGTGAGGTCCTTAGATGCATCAACTGACAAGATTTGATGATCCTAGTCCTTATTGTAAGCAAAATATCAACATTTTAATAAAATGTAATTTTTGGTCAACTTTGAATTGACCTTGAGACCACGCCCTTTGCCCCAGGGTGATGCCTTGAATAATTTTTAATCTACAACATATCTTCATCCTTTTGTGTAAGTTTGGTGATAATCTGCCCAGTGGTTCTTGAGAAGAAGATTTTTTAGCAACCAGTACTTTTGTTTCTATTTTCCTAATTATCTCCCCTTGTATAAGGGTCACAACCCTAGTTTTAGTATAAAAGGGAGCCCTTGGGCCAAGAATACCCTGTGACAAATTTGACAATAATTGGCCAAGGGGTTCTTGAATTATGGCCCATATTCTAAAAAGTTTACGCACACCACACAAATGGCCATAGATTAGCTCTTTGAGCCTTTGGCTCAGAAGAGCTAAAAAAGTCAACCTGACCATTAACTATGAAAGTAATTTTTGTATTAAATATAATAAAAATGCCTATTCAATTGTTATTCAATTGACTTTACAAGTTACATTATTTTCAAGTGACTAACTGTGATCATAGGTGAATAGCAAAGGGAATAACTTCTTTCAGTAGAAATTAATAAATTGACCAAAGGATACAGAATTTCAAAATCTGGTAAAACACCCTTGCTTATTACAACTTTATTTACTCTTTATGCCTCCTAGATGCCAAGGAGCAGAGAAAAAGGTTTTCGAAGAAATAATCCATTTTCACCATAGACTCAATATAGCCCCACCCTAATAACAGAGCCCCTGACCCCAGAACCAAGATATTCACAATTTTGGAAGATGCACCCTTGCTCATCATTACCATGCACTTAGTACAATGTATGTCTCCTTAATAATAATGGGCAGAGAAGATTTTCAAAGAAATAATGCCTTTCTATGATACAGTTATGCAAAACAGCCTCAAGCTAACATGAAAGCCCCTGACCCAGGGGTGATAACTTTCAAACTTATTGAAAAGACACCCTTGCTGATCATAACCATGCTATAATTTTTTCTGTTAAATACCCAGGGGCAGAGAAGCTTTTCAAAAAAAAAAAAATGCATTTCCACAATATATTCAATAGACTCCCCCCCCCCCCCCCACTCCCAAATAACTACTGACCCTGGGGCCACAAATTTCACAACCTTTGAAGAGGCATCCTTGATCATAACCATGCACTTAGTTTACCTGCTCAATACCCAGGGGCAGAGAAGGTTTTCAAAGGATTAATGCAATTTCACTATTTGATCGATAGAGCCTCACCAGAACCCCTGATCCAAGAGCCAAGTTATTCACAGTTTTGGAAGAGGTGCACCCTTGCTCATAATAACTATGTACTTAGTTTAACTGCTTAATATCTAGAAGCAGAGAGGAAGATTTTCAAAGAAATCACTATATAATCAATAGAGCCCCCCCCCCCCCTCCTGTAGAGCCCCTCAACCTGAGGACAAAAATTTCACAATTTTGGAAGAGGCATCCTTAAAAACATTATTACCATGCACCTAGTTTATCTGCTTTATATACAAGGGGAGAGAAGAGGATTTTTAAAGAATTTATGCATTTTCAACATATAATTGATGGAGCCCTGCCATAACATCAGAACCCCTGACCCAGGGGCAAAGATATTCACAATTTTGGAAGAGGCACCCTTGCTTATCATAACTGAATACTTGGTTTATCTGCTAAATATCTAGGAGCAGAGAAGACTTTCAAAGAAATAATGCACTATTTAGGACCTATAAAAAAAATATTTTTGAATAACGAATTGACAAATTTGTTAATTTTGTTATAATGATTTCTTTGGATTCGTTATAACAAATTTAATCTGTTATTACAAATTTGTTGAATTCGTTATAACGAATTCAATAACGAATTCAAAAATTTTTTTATAACGAATTAAATTTGTTATAACACAAATTCTAAAACTTGTTATAACGAATTAAATTCGTTAAAACAAATTCTATAATTTGTTGTAACGAATTAAATTCATTAAAACGAATTCCACAAATCATCACATCGAATTCATATAAATTTTTCTATAGGCCTGGATTGTTAAATTTGATTAAACGCATTTAATTTGTTATAACAAATTTTAGAATTTGTTTAAACGAATTGTAACGAATTGTCGAATTTGTTGTAACAAATTAAATTCATAATAACAAATTATTGAATTTGTCATTACGAATTCAATAAATTTGTTACAACAGATTAAATTTGTTTTCACGAATTCTAAGAATTTATTATAACGAATTAAATTCATTATGACAAATTCGACAATTTGTTATACATGTATCAAATTCAAAAATATTTTTGATAGGTCCGAACTTTCACTATATAACCAATAGAGCCTTTCTTCTTGCAGAACTCCTCACCCTGGGGCCATAAATTTCACAATTTTGGAAGAGGCTCCCTTAATCATCATGACGATGCACCTAGTTCATCTGCTTTTTATAAAGGGGGAGAGAAGATTTTTAAAGAATTTATGCATTTTCACTATATGTTCATTAGAGCCCACTCTAACTCCAGAACCCCTGACCCTGGGGCCATGAATTTCACAATTTTGGTTATGGGCTCAATGCTTATTACATTCATGCCACAGTTTAACTGCTTGATGTCCAGGAGTAAAGAAGATGATTTTTAAAGATTGCACTCATTTTGATGGTTTTGGAACCATCCCAAAGGCCCAGGAAAGCAGGGACCATGAAATTCACAATTTCTGTTCCCTTCACTCATAGATGTGTTATGCCAAAATTGGTTGAAATTGGTTCAGCGATGAAGCTGAAAATGTTCAAATGTTAACAGATGCTGTTAATGGATACTGCACATTGTACAACAGATGAAAACTGATAGTAAAAGGTCACCTGAGTGACTCAGATGAAATAACAAACAATTTGAACTATTCTCTTGAGATTTATTTTCAACTGTCTTAAAAATTAAATTCAACTACATTAAAAATAACAAAACAGGTACATATAAAGTCAGAGGTTTGAAAAAATATTAAAAATATAAATGTCTAATTAGACTGTACTGATAGTCAAAGTCTCAAAGATCACAGAAATAGGGCATATCAATGAATGAAATATGATTATTAGGTGCTTCGGGACACTGGAAATAGCATCCATACGTATGTCTTCAAATACTTTTTGCAGCTTAGCATATGAAGCTAACTGGTCTTAGGAAAACTATTCTCCTCATGTTGATCTGGATATCACAACCTCCTGGTAAGTTCTGTACAATCCAGCAACATACTTACAGAGACCATGAGGTACATCTGACGGGAAAAGACATACCTCATTTTCAGATGAGCAGAGAGCAGACACTTTTGGGAGCTTGTGCTTAGACTTCGTTTGCAAGGGAATGTACCTTTGCACATCAACATTTTCTGCTATATCCCTGAATTGAATGACTTTCTTTGGGTCCTATTACAAGTAAAAAGTATGAAATGTACTGAAAATAAGCCTTAAATTCATTTCAATTAAAACAGTTGTCATTAATTTTAATCAGCATTACATTAATGTAGAATGTCATTTCATTTATACCTTTTAAAATTTCATATTAAATAAACCTAAGGTTTGAGGTAAGTAAAAATCCTTTTAATTCTTAGGTCTGTTGACAGGTTCCTCAAAAATCTCATTTCATATCTCTTTGTAACATACCAAAAATAATTATACTTATCGTTGTCTTGTGATTTTGAAACTGTTTTCAAAATGTCTATAAAAAAACACCAAAAATTGTGATATCAGCAATTCAAGAGATGTCTAATAGGATGATTACATAGGAAATAACATTCTCTGGTGTCAGCTTGCCCAAATGCTTGCAATATACTTAATTTTTTTTTATGAGGCAACTTGTAAAATCACAAAATCTTGGGAAAAATTATATATTATTGAGAAACTGTCATCTGACCATAAGAAAGCACTTAAAAAAAACAATAACAAAAAACATCAAAAATGTTTGAAATTAAAATTGTCGATGTAAATTCAACTCATCATGCATTACACTTTTACCAGAAGAGATTTGTAAGCCTTTTTGAGAAGGACCCACTATACAAAATTGAAAGAGAATGTTAAACCAATGTTGGTCAAATTTTTAAGCATGGTTTTTAAGTGCCCTTTCATCTCTGTTTTATCTATGGTAGAGATAAGATTTCAAATGATATGACTTAGCTATAAAGAATTTGGATTCAGTATTTTCTAGCACTCATACCAATATATTAATACTGTAAACATACATAAATTAGCACATTCAAAATTTAGCACAATCTTCCTTTTCAACTACATGTAATTAGTGCAATCATAAACTAGCACTATTGAAGATGGCAAGTATGAGTTAAAATCGTGGATTAGTGTGTACATGCATAAATTGGTGGTCATGAAGCAGTGCAAAAGCCACTAAAATGTGATATCGCTAAAATACATGTACATATAGGGGCATCTTATGGCACACTGATGGTGTCAAAAGTATTTTCTGCATAACAGTCATAGCTTTATATACAAGTATGAAGAAGAAAAAATCATATGGTATATTGCTTTGCTTTTTAAAACCTTTCTGCATTTAGCACTTACATAAGAAACTCAGCACTTACATGCATTATGAATGACCGGAGAAGATACTTGAACATTTAAGACTACATGCTGAATGTCAGCTTGATATAACCTCATTTGAAACAAATATGCAATTGGATAAGCTTATTACAGCTTCAGAAATGACCTTCACAGAGTCTGACAGGACTGTCTAAACTAGAGATACTGTGACCCAGCTCACAAAATGATATCCACCTGCGCCCAATCTTTGTGTCAGCTATGAACTTCCAAATTTTCTCAGTAACAAAGATATGGTCAGGATAGGATTTATATATTTTTCTGAAATTGACTTTGAACTTGCACAAATGACTTTGGGTCAAGGTCAGGACACACTCTCTGGTGATGTGAAGTATGAACTTCCAAAGTTTTCCAATTAGAATGTTATGGACCAGTGTAATACAGCCCCCCCCCCCCCCCCCCCCCAGCCACACTTTAGGGTCTTACCATGAACCTAGGTGCAATAAATTACACAATTTTGGCAAAAGGTTGAATGAATAGTCATTACAGTCATGCAGTTTGTCTGCTTGATGTCCATGAGTAAACAAAAATATTATATAAGATCTAATACATTTACAATATATGACCAACTTAGCCCCCTTTTTTTATGTATACTGCCTTTATCCCACCCTGAAGCCTGCACACAGGGGCCATGAATTTCAAAATGTTTGGTAAAGGGCTTATTGCTTATTATAATCATGCCGACAGTCTGACTACTTGATGTCCAAGGGATGAAGATTTTTTAAGTCTGCATTAATTTTGGTGTTTTTTTCCCCACCCTCAGGCTCCTTGGGAGACAGAGACCATGAAATTCAAAATTCTTGTTCCCCTTTACATCTATATACTGGAATAGATTGAAATTGGTTCAGGTTAGAGGAGAAGCTGAAAATGATGAAAAGTTTACAACACACAACGAAAAATACACACCAGATGAAAACAGATAGCAATAGGTCACCTGAGTGACTCAAATGAGCTTAAAATAGACTTCCAACTTTTTTATACTTCCTTTATCCCTACCTTTTTCATACAATCTCTTGTTATACTAGATTGATGAAGATCTACAATGAATTTCTTCTGTATTGGATATGTATCATCAATGTACTTGCATACTGCTGGAATTATTCGTTCCTAAAATATGACTCAAAAAATTAGGTTGATTCCTGGGATATTGAGCTATAAATCAAAATTTCTTTTCAAAATAAATATATATTTATGTGTGTGTTCTTTAAAGTTGTCTATATGTAAATTACCGGTGGTGCTGATATGTTGACTGCCATATCCCGAACATTGACACGCTTGGCATCAAGAAAGTCTGTATGATAATTTTGAGCATCTTTGTCATCTGAAATGTTTTAAGCAACAGTAAGTTTGTTTGATTTAATTGTAAAGAAAATCTCTGAGGATTGTGGGTGTGGATGCTGTGACATTTATGCATATATAAAGACAGTTAATACAAACTTTTATGAAAAATCATGAAAATAACAACTGAAGTCATATTTATTTAAGTAAAATAAATAAGTTTAACTGCATATATTTTAATTTTTCATTCAAAGTTTCATAAGAATGTGATTTTAAGTGACAAAAAAAGTTGTACGTATTAATAAGGATGATTGAAAAAAGTAGAATTTTTAATTTATAATAACAATATAAAGAGTTAACAATTTCTTAATACTTTAGAAATTAATATTTGCATCATTTACAAATTACAACCAAACTAGGTCCAAAAATATATAACAATCCAGGCATCCAATTTTTTTTGTTATTGTCATCTGTCTTTAAACACAAAATATTTAACTTTAAGAAAAATCTCAATGACCAAATTGAAAATAATCTTTATTAGTAACTGTTCAGGCCAGTCAGAGAAATTTTTTACTCTCTCATTATTAACAGCTCTGTAATGCATGAGAGAAAAAAAAATACATGACATTTTTGGAATGTATTTAAATACATTCAATTACTTGTAATTGAAAGCAAACTCAAATATACTTTCAATTACTTTGAAAAAATGTACTTATACAGTAAATTACAATTACTCATTATATCCCTGACATATAGCAGCTAAGCAAGTAAGCAAGCATATGGGAAAAAGTTGTACAAAATTTAGCATAGGAAATACATTTGATTAACAAATATAGTTAGTTAATATAGTATACATATATCGTATTTCTACAGTATTTTATTTACGAGGGAAAACTGAAAGTTCTAAACATTGATAAATTGCTAGCTATTTAAAAGAAGTTAATGTTTTTAATTTCATTGAAAAGACAAGAAAACATCACTAAATATTTCTCTGATACATATGATTTCTAAAATGACATCATAATCCAGTTTGTTGAGTATACTGATATTTTTTTTTTTTTTTTTTTTTTGACCATATGAAGTTATAAGTATTGGAGCTATAAAAGAGTTCTTCGATAAGACCTCAATTAATCCAAAATGAATTTTTGTGTTTGACTCCAAACTGCCATGAGTCTACGTTTGGAAACAGAGTTGATCACACTGAGGTTACACAAGATACATGTATATCTACATAGTACCTATTGATACCATATTTGATGAAACAATGGGAGAACGACTTAGCAAAAACTTTTCTGAGTTTCAGTTCTCAGACCTGAAAATTAATGTCAAATAATTACATGTAGCAGTACTGTACACTGTAAGTTGTCAACATTTTCACTTTTCACAGCAAAAACTTCTTCGACTCAATATTTAGCACAAATTCAACAAAAAAGTGCCATTTTCAACAGACTTTTAAATTGCCTTGAAAGTATTAGAGCATTCCTTAAAATGAGTCATAAAACAGAGTTACAGTCTAAGTAATCTTTATCCAAACTTGTATTAATGTGTGTTCTCTTTCTAAACCATGAAAATCCTAGTAATTTAATGATATACACTTATTTTCTTGATCTTTTTAATGATACCAAAAACATTGCTTTTTGTTAATTAAGCACTAAAAAAATTTATCAAGCAAAGTTCAGGACTTTTAAAATGCCCCTCATATGTGCATACATACTTACCAAATATAAAAAAGATGACTGTGTCTACATTTCTTACATGTGGAATTTCTAGGTTTGAGAAGAATTCACATACTTTATCCCATATATCTTCCTTAGCTTTAGAGGATACATCCATGGATACAAGCTTCTCTCTTTTGGAGAAGTACTCTGTGAATATTTCAACACACTCTGCATACAAACGAGCTCTTTTCTGTGGAGGAAAATAATTACAAATTACCTTTTGTAGTAAGATGCTACTGAACATACCTTATACAGGTACATTTTCCTTGTAATATTATCATACTCTATCAGCAAAGGCCATAGCTGATGAATGCATGTATGTACAGTACAAAGCTTTATTTTAGCTACATTCCCCCATTTTTCTCAAAAACTAAAATTCATTTAACAATTAATGCAGGGAAAGCACACTTTAATATATTAAATATTATGAAAATGTGGCTAGAAAACAATGTTTTCAAAAAAAATGATTATATTGTGTTTAAAGAAAACAAGAAACCTATGAGTTATAATTCATGATAAACTACACTGTTATGTACATGCTTTTTTAAAATTAAATTCCATCCAAAAAATTGTTGAGGTACTGCCAATTCAGTGGAAAGGCCCTACACAATCAATCATTGTTTGTAAAATTCTATACTGTACCGCAAGTCTACCAGTATCTGCCTCGTCTGATTGCTTGGGTTGACCTGCTGGGGTATTGGTATCCTTCTGTTCTGCAATTACTGGAACAGCACACTGAGGTGCCATGATATTCTTTTTGTTTGTAACAGTGAAATTGATAGCAAATGAGATCGGAAACTACAACAGAAAAAAGTCAAATTAATTACATTTGTTTTTTTTTTCAATAACAGAAAAAAGTCAAATAAATCACATTTGTTTTTTTCAATAAATGTTTTTACTTCATGTTGATCGAAATTTCAGATCTTTAGTAAAATTCAAATACATATTTTAAAAAAATTATTATTTCATTTTTAACATGTCTATATATATAAACATAATCTTAACAGACCTCAAAGATAATCAAAATTACAGGGACTTTGATTCATGTGCAATTCATTATGTCCTATTGATATTTCAGTACTATATACTTCCTAACAAAGTCAAAAGCTAAAAAAAAAAGGGCTTCAATGGAATCCAACCTGAAATATTAATTTTAAAAGTTCTTTTGATTACACATTGTAATTAAAAACAACTATTTTAGTAGTGATAGGCCTTATGCCATGGTCCGAATTTGACAGGGTCCAAATTTACCAGACACCTTCAAAAGGACTTTGGTTAAAATGAATGCATCTCTTTTTAGTCAGTAACAGAACTTGGAAGGATTTACTTTAATTTATTATTTTAATCAATATCTCAACACTGCTTTCTCTGGCATTTTTATTTTTTAGCTCTCTATTGTTTGAAATTCATCCACAGTGCAGCAACTTGCAATATATAGTGAAACATGCTTACAGCAAACACGCGTATTATGAATTGACACTTACAGCGAAGTGATTTTCATTACCCGTGGCTACAAAATACCATATGAGTGGAATTTCTAGCGAGATGCATATTTAGCGATTTATCCCAAAAAATTGGTATATATTTTTAGTGAAAAGTAATTTTAGCAATTTTATGATGTCAAGAAAGATATCTATTACAACCGATACGGGTTAAATTGTTAGCGATATTCAATTTTTTTCGCAATCTCAAAACCTTCGCTAATAATGCCAAAATTGAATCCCCGCTAAAAATTCTGCTTATATGGTATATTGTGAACTTTAAAGATATAATGAATTACGCTTATAACGAATGCAGCAGGGCTTAATAACCAGCTTGTATCCAGGTCCAGTAAACGGATCTTTCCAAAAATTAATTAAGGTAAAAATTCCCAGTTGATAAAAGCAGATTGAATTTTTCAGTGCCAAGTGGTTTTTACACTTTTAAAAAACCCTTGAATTTTCACAATTTAATGATTCATGAAGATTTGAATAGTCAATAAATCTTTAAACAACTCTTTATTCAACAGAAAAATTTAACATAAGACCCCAATCTTTCCAAATTTTGCCACTTTTTCAATTTAAAATTCCAAATTGAAAAGGTACAGAACCCTGTACCAAAAAGGAATAATTAAGCCCTGAAGCAAATCCAAGGCACTTTGTTACAGGTAACTCTTGATGGCTCGAACTTCGATCTCTCGAAGCTCTTGATCGCTCGAAGTGAGTCTCTGGTCCCAAATTTTTCCCCTATATAACTAAGCAAATTTACTCTTGATTTCTCGAACTCTTGATCTCTCGAAACCCTTGATCCCTCGAAGTCAAAATGTAGTCCCGTTATGCATATTCTATTAGAATTTACCCTCGATACCTCGAAGTGGCTATGTGTATACAAGGTTATATAATTATCACCTTTACCTGGACATTTAAATGGCCCCAGGCAGAAGACACGGGTCTCGAGGAACGGGATGTTTATTCAGGTGACACTTATGCTGCAAGGTGTTGATTGATATATAATTAATCCTATTTTGCATATATGCTATTAAAATAATTATCATCGACTGTCTTAAGATAATTTAGAGACATTGTGTCAGTGAAAAGTAGTACTGAATTGATTAAAAGATGAAACACTAATTTAATTTTTATTTCGAGTCCGTGTCAAAGTTAAACGAAATATGAAAAAGCAGAAACAGCCTCAATGTCAATATGACGACTATTATTGGACAAATACTTACAGAGCAGCTTTGAACGATCATGTTTGGAATAGTCAATGCTATGTACGCCGCTGTAAAATGTCGTTTTCATGTAACGAATGCGTAGTATGATGGGCGTATTACAAAGAATAAATAAAAATACATGAAATTACGATACACAATTTTTGCTTTACTCAGTGTAATGAAATATTCATCTAAATTACGAAAAAATATCGTTGTTTTATAAAAACCACGTGTAAAAGGTTAGCACTGCATGAAAATCATTACATCCAGGAAGACTAATTTTCAAACATGTTAACAAACCCGGAAAATTCTGGACTCTTGAAAACTCGAACTCTTGATCTCTCGAAGTTTTTTCTCGGTCCCGTGGACTTCGAGGTATCGAGAGTTACCTGTATTTTGTTTTGTTTTGTTGTGTTTATAGAATAAACCCAGTACATGTTTCAGTGTTCTTATTGCTATATTAATTTTAGATATAATTAAAGAAACTTTATCAAGATAATATTCATTGTGAGCATTTTCAAAAGAAATTAATACATAATTCTATTTTCTTTTGTATATGCACAGATTGACATCTTTGGTTATGTAATTTTTTAGCAGACAGTCGGAATGATCCCTAGATGATTTTCAGCTTTGTTTGACACCATGAAAATATGATAGTTCACAGGCATTAGAATTCATAAACATGACTCTCTGCCTATTAAATCCACAGATATTTAGGTTGGAAAATATTTTTTGTGAATATAAGGAAGAAATATGATGTTAAATGCCTGTGACTTTATTGAAAGCATGCAGTTACAAATACATGTATTCAATACTACTGTGATTATATATACATTATATATATACAGTATATATAAGCCCGAAGGGCTTTATTGTAAATTTGATCTCGTACCAACCCGTATTTATATCCCAATAGATGTTTTAAAATGATACCTTATTACTTATATTTACATTTGTGACTTAATCATATTATATACATGTATTAGCCTGATTATAACCTTTAACGCGTGAAATGTTTTATTTTTTCAAACTCAACGGCACAAGTTTGATCTATTGATTGCGCGTCGACCCTTTATGACGTCACTGAGAAATTAAGTCGAACGTTTATGACGTGAGGAACCCGTGTTTATACGGATATACATATGCGTTGCTTTTAATAGTGTTATATAAAAGAAAACATTTGCAAATGTAAATATAATAATATATTCATGGAATGTCAACTAAGTTTGTCTCCTGTGTTTAACTTTGAGTTTAGCAGCATCCCCTATAACAGTCACACTTGCAAGGAGCCGTATGTATTGATCAGGTAGTCGGAATATTCCATAGTCAAAATTACTTTACAAAGACCTAATAATTGGTATGAAATATGTCAGTCATAATACGACCCAATCATATAAAGCCAATTTATAGCCAACACAACTATGCCAGAAGAAAGTCAATGAAGATTACATTAAAAGGCAAAGTATGGTGTTAGTAAGGACAAACAGGAATCATAAGGCCAACAAGAGGTCCATGGGCCACAACGCTCACCTGAGTAACTGTGGCCCTTCTGTTTTTTATCAGCAAATTTTTCCCCAAATTATTCCTATGTAAAATTAAGATAATACATTATGACCCCACCTTATCCTCTGGTGTCATGATTTGACCAAACTTGAATCTGCATGAGGATTCTTCCATATATATATATATATATATATATATATATATATATATATATATATATATATATATATATATATATATATATATATATATAATTATGGCATTGCTGTTCTGAAGAAGAGGACTTTAAAAGATTTTTTCATATATATTTCTACGTAAAACTTTAATTGGGCTTTAATCCTCCCCCTAGGGGTTATGATTTGAACAAATTAGAATCTACACTACCTGAAGATGCTTCAGTATAAATATAACATAATTATGGCTTTGCTGTTCTTTAGAAAAAGAATTTTAAAGATTTTGCCCATGTATTCCTATGAAAATCTTTGATTGCCTGTAGTGGCCCCACCCTACCATCCTGGGTTATGATTTGAACAAAATTGAATCTACACTACCTGAGGATGCTTCCATATAAATATAAATAATCATGACATTGCTGCTCTTGAAAAGAAGAATTTAAAAGATTTTCCCTATTTATACACATTATAACTTGGATTGCCCATAGTGGCCCCACTATACCCCAGGGGGTGAGGATTTGAACAAACTTGAATCTACCTTCCATATAAATATGAATAATCATAACCTTGCTGTTAATGAGAAGAAGTTTTTCCTTATGTATTTGTATGTAAAACATTGATCGCCCTATACTGGCCCCATCCTACCCTCTCTGGTCATGATTTGAACAAAATTGAATCTACACTGCCTTGGGATGAGTCCATATAAATATATGACTAATTCTTACTTTGCACTCCTTGAGAAGAAAAAATTTCAAGATTTTTTCGTATGTATTCTCTTGGTGGTCATGATATGGACAACTTGAATCTACACTAGTTGAGGATGCTTTCAACTAAATATGACTCACAATGACCCTGATGTTATTGAGAAGAAGAATTTTTTTTAAATTTCCCTAAGTATTCCTATGTAAAACCTTGCTTACCAATAGTGGTCACACCCTACCTCCAGGGGTCATGATTTGAACAAATTTGAAACTACACTAGGTCAGGAGGCTTTCAAATAAGTTTCATATTTTTTGGCCCAGTGGTTCTTGAGAAGAAGATTTTTAAATAACCCCAATGAGTTTTCACAATTTCATAATTATCTCCCCTTGAAAGAGACATGTGACTCTCCATTGGCATTTGAACAAACTTGAATCCCTTTTACCCATGGATACCTTAATGTGCCAAGTTTGGTTGAAATTGGCTCAGTGGTTCTGGAAAAGAAGATGAAAATATGAAAAGTTAAAGACAACAACAACGACAGACAACAGACAGATTTCGTTCAGAAAAGCTCACCAGAGCCTTTGGCTCTAGGGAGCTAACAAAAAAATGATTTGTTAGACATACTCCAACTGACCTGTGAAAATAGCTCCTACCCAATACCGGTAATTTTTAGTACAGTACTTAAAATTTTGCTGTTTTGTTGTTGTTGTTGCTGGTTTTTTTTGGTTTTGTTTTTTTTTTTCGTTTTTCGTGTTTTTTGTTTATAGGAAAGATCTACGCACCCTAACTCTCGATTCCCGCCCACATTTTACACCCATTTAATTCAATACTAATTGCAATTTGGTCATAAAATCTTTGTTGAATGCAAAGAAGAGTTCAATGGAAATTGATTAATAATTTTAATACCAGTCTTAAATAGTTAATTACTCTTAATTCCAGCTCTTTTTATAAGGGGGGTAGACAATGTTTTCCATTGAAACCAGGCTTGAAAGCATCAGTATATTTTAAAATATTTTTGGATATGGATAAATGTTCTTTAAATCTTTCCTTATGTTTTTCACATATAAAATTAAACATATGTAATTGATAAAATACAACGTTTAAGTTGTAAACCCTTTCAATATTGGTGGAAAAATGAGCATTTTTGTCAGTTTTTTGTCAGAAAACACGTTCCCCCCGTGAAACACAAAAAGCTTTGATGTGAATTTGTGAAATAACAATCCATATTACCTGTAAAATGAATTTTTGTTTCCGGGGGGGGGGGGGGGGGGGGGGGAGGGAGAGAAGATGTTTTAAAAATATTTTCCGTTTTCTGCTGATTTCTATAGTGAAAAACACCAGTTTTACCAAAATTATGGAGTTATCTCTCTTTGTTTCCCCAAATAAGTAATGTTTTAAGAAAATTCATATAAATATCTATATAAATATGAAAAATCATTCAAATATGTTAACTTCTGAAAATTGACTTGAAGGTGGGTGGGAGAACAATACTATCGTTCGCAGTTCTTACAGATCATCTGTATTGTTTTTAAAGTTAAGGTTCATCATTTCTCTAAAATATTTTTTAGATTAAAGATTTTACAGCAATAAATATTAAATCTGTCTATTTGTCTGCTGTATAATGAAAACAATAGACTTCTTAATTTATGATTTTATTACGATTATCTATGTGTTAAATAATTAAACAAGAGGCTCATGGGCCACAACGCTCACCTGAGTAACTTTGGCCCTGCTGTTCTTCACTAGATTTTCCCCTTGTAATACGTATTGTGGCCCCACCCTATCCCTGGGGGTCAAGATTTGAACAATTTAAAATCTACACTACGTTTCCTTGTAAGTTTCAGCTTTTCTGGCCCAGTGGTTCTTGAGAAGAAGATTTTTAAAGTTTTTCCTACATATTTCAATGTAAAACTTTGATTCCCCACTGTGGCCCCACCCTACCTTCAGTTAATTTAGAATCTACAATACGCCAGAATGCCTCCATGTAAGTTTCAGCTTTTCTGGCCCAGTGGTTCTTGAGAAGAAGATATTTAAAGATTTTTCCTATACATTTCAATGTAAAACTTTGATTTCCCATTGTGGCTCCACAGTACCTGTGGGGGTCATGATTTCAATTCAGAATCTTCGTTACCCCAGAACGCTTCCATGTAAGTTTCAGCTTTTCTGACCCAGTGGTTCTTGAGAAGAAGATATTTAAAGATTTTTCCTATATATTTCAATGTAAAAGTTTTGATTCCCCATTGTGGCCCCACCCTACCCCTGTGGGGTCATGATTTGAACAATTTAGAATCTACACTACCCCAGGATGCTTCCTTGTAAGTTTCAGCTTTTCTGGCCCAGTGGTTCTTGAGAAGAAGATTTTTAATGACCCAACCCTATTTTTGTCTTTTCTTGATTATCTCCCCTTGTAGAGGGGCTTGGCCTTTCATTTTAACAATTTAAACTCCCCTTCACCCAAAGGTGCTTTGTACCAACTTTGGTCAAAATTGGCCCAGTGGATCTTGAGAAGAAGTTTAAAATGTGAAAAGTTCACAGACGGACAGATGGACATACGGATGGACGACAGACAACAGGTGATCAGAAAAGCTCACTTGAGCTTTCAACTCAGGTGAGCTAAAAAAGGGAAATGTAAATTTAATAAGTTTACACATGCTGCTCAACCTAAATTGTGAAATCAAAGTTCATCTGGCCACCTCTCTCAACAAATAATGCACAGATAAAATACTGTTGTAAGTTAATGGTTAAGTTAATCCAATGTAGATTGCCACTTAAGTCATACTTGCCTTGTTTTCATAAATCTTAAAATCATTCTCACACTCCTTTGCATTTCTAAATGGAGCCATTAGAAATTTCAGGTTTGGCATGAAGTCCCAAAGAAAGCAGTTATTCTTCCCTTCTTTCTCTATCTTATTGCATACTTGACTGAATACCCATTGCAATCGTAACAATTCTGGTTGAGTCTGCAATGAATTTGTGTTTATCTTACCAGTACTTTATATGTATTACAGTAACTTAAAATGATTTATATACTAGAAATGGATAATCTATAAATCAAACTTCAGCAGCTGTTAAAGTGCTAAAACAATTAAAAAAAAAACAATATTTCTCCCCTTGGAAGGAGAGACATAATACATGTACAATAACAAGACAAGGAACTAGATGTGTCCTTACTTCAATAAGTTTGCATGTTGATGTAACAGACTTAAATTTTCTTCACTACATGTACTGATACATTCTTTACAATTTGAGCTAAATGTATATGAAAATGTACTTTTGGCTTTACATGACATTTTCAGTTTCTAATAGAACATATATCTATGAAATTATTTGTATATCAATACTGTATAAAGGTACAGTGCCCATCTTCTAATACCTTTTTGCTTATAGGGGTGACTTAAATTCTTTACACAATTATACTGTCAAATTTTCACAATCTACAATATTTGAATGTTGTTGAGAGTAACAATTTTCACCCTGGCCCCTCCCTAAACCTGGGGGTCATATGATCTGAACAAATATGAATCTGCAAGCTGAAGATGCTTCCATATGATAATCATGGCTAAATTTGCTTCTCTTGAAAAGAAGATTTTTCAAAGATTTTTCTTATATATTCCGAAAAAAAAACTTTGCTTGCATGCCCATTGTGGCCCCCATCCTATCCCTCAGGGGTCATGATTCAACAAATTTGAATCTACACTACCTGAGGATGCCTCCATATATGATTAATCATGGCTACATGTCTGGAAGCTTCCATATAAGTTTCAACTTTTCTGGCTCTGGTTCTTGAGAAGAAGATTACCGGTATTAATTGACACCATCTTATTTCTGCCTTTTCTTGATTATCTCCCCTTCAAAGGGACATTGACCTTCACTTGAACAATACTGAATCCCTTTCACCCAAGAATAATTTGTGGCAATTTTGACTGAAATTGGTCCAGTGGTACTTGAGAAGAAGTTGAAAATGGGAAAAGTTTACAAACGATGCACACCCACAGAATAGACAAAAACATAGCAGTTATAAATAGGCCACCTGAGTGACTCAGAAGACCTTAAAAAAATTATTTAAGGAACCACCCCTTTTGAGTCCCTGGAGAGTCCCAGGACAAAGATCAAAATTCCAAAACCTTATTCAACATAAAAGTCATGGCTAATAAATATATGCAAAAGGAAATTTTTGGCAACTATTTAAAACATGAGTTCCAATGACAATTAAGCTTTATTTTTTAAGTACATCTTTTAAGGATCATGGGGACCCCTGGGTCCAAAATTTAAATTTCAAAACCTTACAGAATATTTGCAGGACCAAGCTCATCTTCAAAATGAAACTTTTAGCTATACCTCTGAAAATGTAGTAGGAGAAGCAATGACAAATGTGACAAACAGGGATAACAACAATATATCTGAACCTTCTTCAGAGACTCCAAGTAAAATAATTTACAAGGTTCTACAATATACAAAGGTAAAATCATTTTGAAGCTATTTTTATTTCACACAGATGAAATTACAGTATATATACTTGCCTATAAGTTGGTCTGCTTATAAATTGGTTGTATTTTTAAAGATTATTTTGGAGGGATTTGCCATTGATCCTCTTATAAGTAGGTACAACTTTTTGCCAGAATCAGTTGGCAATTTCATATCAATGCTCTAATGTTTTTCTTGTGTTTCAAATAATATTTTGGGTTATGACACTGATGTTTAATCATATATTCCCAACAACTATCAATACATGTACTTTAATGTACTTACCTGACTTACTGTATGGTATAAATCAATACAATCCTGCTGTTTCAACACCAAGAAACATTACATAATTAAAACACTTAATCTGTGTACAGAAAACAATTTATTAAATTGTTATATATTTACTTTTATCAGAGCTGCAATATCCTCTGTTCTCTTGCTGGAAGTTGGGTCATCTAACTTCTTGGACAATTCTTCAATAAGAATTGTTTCTGTGCTTATCAATTTCAAACCATAGACATGTGAGACATCATCAAGAAGCTTCCCTTTTCTGCTTCCAGGACCTCCTGTATTAATTGATTTATGAATAAAAAAAGAAAAGATATGAATAGATACAATTTTGCTAAAGTGATTCTAATTCCTTAAATGTTCTAGGTGTTCAGTGATTACAGCATTCCTTTCCATTCAGAAAGACTTAGAATTTAAGCTATAGTCTGAAATGTAAGTGAAGTCACTCAACAACTGCAAAAGAATGAATTAAGACTTCATTTTTATTTCAAAAATGATACATGCATATTTCTTCTGAGATGCTAAATGTAATATGACTAACATGATCTTGCATGTTCTGAAGAAAGTTAAAGATTCTTTCCTGTATACATTTGATTCCTGATTTTATCCCTATCCTAAGTGTAGGGTTCGTATTTAAAATAAATTTGAAAATAAGGGCACCACAAAGTGTAGCATTCCCTCACAAAAGAGCACATCAATCGCATTATAAATTAAATATATTATTTGCTCAACTTCGGTTACGCACCCATCCCCCCCACTCACACCCCCCTCCCCATACACACACACACACACACACACACACACACACACACATTTTACTATATCCTATCCAACTTTTTTGCCAGGGGAAAAAATTTCACCAAAAAGTGGAGCATCCCACTCCCAATACATTAAACGTATTGATAATTTGTAAGTTATTTACTGATCCTTTGATATTTGATCAAAGCACAGAGTCTTACATCAAAATTGTTTTGTGTTACTGGTTACAAGTTGTACTGTACAAATATTTAATATATATTCTATTCATATGACATGAAAAACAAGTTATTACTGTCTATCATCATGATCATTTGGTGACAGAATATGACTTTGTTGTGAGCATGCATTCAGTATACGCATGTTCAAAATAAATGATTTGCTGTATATCTATCTTGGTTCTGTGTCCTTTGGAGTACATTTCATAAAAATTATGTAATAAAAGTAAAATTAAATTATCAAAATTTAACTTATTCCAAAATATATATGAAATGTAATGATGGGCAGTATCTTTGAAACAGAATAGGTAAACATTTAAAATACTTCTCAAAATACATGTAGTATGATAATCATCTTTCTTTTGTTTGTTTGTTTGTTTTGTGTTTTTGTTCTGTTTTCTTTTGTGAGTTTTTGTGTTTTTCTTCAATTTTGTGAAGTTAGGTCAGATGAATTATAATTATTTGAAGAAGTACAGTAAAGGATCAGAGGGGCTTATTAAGGACATACGCAACGTACCTTACCTACTGATACTTTTTCGAGATATTCTTAATTTAAGATTATAGTGCTATCAGATGTTCGTAGACAAAAAATCAGCATGCATTACCAGGGGTTTTGAAAAGATATCAATTGATGAAAATTCTTGTATAATTCAAAGAAAAATATACAAAATTACTAAACATATATTCTAGATGTTTTGTTTATCCAAACTTGTTTTAGAAGAAGTGTACAATAACATATATAGACATTAAAATTTAGCACACAGTTCCTTTAAGTATTGGAACTCTTCAACTCCAAGGAAAAAGACAATAAAGTTCAAACTATGTTGCGTATGTCCTTAAGATTATATTTATTTTGCAGACATCTGTCACTATTTAAGTTGATCTCGAGTTAAAATATCAAGTACATGTACTTAGTTTTGATGAATTCTCTGATACATTTGTGAGCAGTTTAAGTTTTTATTTTTCCTTAAAAACAAAATAAGAATATTATTAATAGAATATAGTGTGGCAATACAGAGTATGTTCATAAAAAATACAGGTGACTCTCGATCTCTCGAAGTTCAAGGGACCGCAAGAAAAGTTCGAGAGATCGGGGGGTTCGAGAGATAGAAAGTGAATAAAATCCGGAATTTTCAGTTCCGATCATCATTGTTCTACTATTATACATACCAGAAGTATATGTTGATAATGTCATTACACGTTTTCATTCGTATTTTACAGGTAATTCACTTGATTTCAACAGCAATGATCGTGTTTTGAATAAATGAAATGATTAACTTAAGATTCAATATTTATTTGTTCTCATTTCATGATTACATGAAACCTGAATAGCAAATGTCGATTTTGCTAACCCCCGTGCGCGGGCTTGATCGGTCCTTCACAAGATTGCTTGTAATCGGTATACAATTCTTGAGATAGGATTTCTTGTGCAATGTTTGCCAAACTGGGATTGTGTAAACTCTAATAATATTAAAGTTCATAATCTATGGAAAATTACTGACACGTCCCTAAATTATTTCCTCAAAATTATCGTCTCGTCCAGTCAAAATAAGTTGTGAAGCGATTTGTTTATAATTTACCAATTAACCAATTAATTTTATCAACACTCGGACGACTCACAGGTGTAAACACCCAATTAACCCGTCCATCCGAGCCCCAGGCGTTCACTGTTATCCAGATAAGTCCAAGCTGAATTTATTTTACGCTTGATCAACGTGTATACATGCGCAATGAAAACTTCGAGAGATAGAGAGTATAAAACAATAAAATATGTGTAACGGGACCCAGGTATTGGTTCGAGAGGTAGAGAACTTCGAGAGATCGGGAGTTCGAGAGATCAGGAGTAAATTTGCTTAGTTATATAGAGGGAAAAAACGGGACTGGAGGTTCACTTCGAGAGATTGAGAACTTCGAGAGATTGGAGTTCGAGCCATCGAGAGTCACCTGTATTAGAATTTTTAATGATACATTAAAAAAAAAAATCATAATATTAATAATAAAGTTAATGAACTTGAAAAAAAAAATTCTTAAGAAACTTAATTTCCTTCATTAGCAGAATAATACATTTGTAATAAAAGTAATCTTCAGAATGGTGAATTATTGATTTTTTGTCCCTTCACAATACTTCTATCATATCAAAGTAACATTTGCATCATAGTGTTGTTCAAACAACCTTTGATTTTTAAGTTTGTTTAAAAGGAGAGTTTACAAAGCATATTGACACACAAACCCTTAGTCCACAGAGTGGACAATTTAAATAGAACAATGAAAATAAAATCTTAAATATGAACATTACTCTCTACTGTATACATTGTTCAAAATCAAAGTGTTTGGTAGTTAGATGTGTATAGAAAATACTCATACTTGTGGCTAGAGAATAAACTTTGATTTTCCATTAGTCAACTAGTTATTTTATCTCTCACGAGCATGAAAAGCGTCATTAAATGAGCATCCATGATTTATATACGCGATATAAATACGAGTGCACGTACTACAGATAACTATAAAGGTATCAATATTATTATGTCCTTAAAACACGTGTTTAAGTTTGAGACAACATAAACACATGTTTATAAAATGGATGTTTATAGTGATCTTAGTTTGCTACTTATACAAAATAAAAGATAAGCTTATTTATACAAATACCAAACATGTGAAACTATCAGTATAAATACTCACCAAACACTACGATTACTTGTGGTTTTGTAGGCAAAACCTTCACATCTTTTCCTACATGAAGATGAATGGTAATTTTGTCTCTTTTGTGTAACACTAATCCTGTAGGGCTATCATTTTCTAGCGTACTGCCACCACATCCCATTTTTCATGTCATTCGGAACAACAACACTTCCCTTGTCGACTGCTACACATAGATACTGCGCATGCTCAAATTAATTTCAGCATCCGCAGGAATGCAAATGCAGAGTCCGCTCACGTCTAGAGAATCCGGATTACGATCATTTTATGCAGGATCACGTTCTTGAAAAAAAGAATTACTATCAGTACTCGCATACACTGCCACAAAGAAAATTTACAGTGGAAATTCAAAAAGCAGTGAAACATTTAACATTTAGTTATTTAATTCGAAGAAGTATTCCTCAAGGAAAAATAAAGTAAATGAACGATCGAACGATGATCTCATAAAATCCGGTTTTCAATACGAATTGCGAATAGGGGAAACACTGGACCTCTGAAAACACCAGCGGTGGGATCAGATGCCTAGAGTGGGTAAGCGCATGAGTATAAGTCATCTGTTCTGATAAAGTAACCGGGGTGTTCTATAATCAAAAATTAGTGTAGAAACAACTAAAACAATCAGTATGAAACATGCCAGTAAAAATACGACCCAACGATAGGCTGTATTTGCAAGCAAGGTCAATAATGACCATAACATTTGCGAAATGCTGACTTTAAACGAGATTGTTGGAAGCTTTTGGAAGCCCTGTAACATCAACGTTTTGTCAGTAGCCTGCATCGGTTAAAAATGTCTGTTATCAAGTTGTGAACTGCTTGTTGCTCAAAGACGAGTAATAAAATGTTTTTATATTTTGAGAGATATAGATATGAAGGATGAGTCACTGTGGAGTAGGTGGGGAATTACTAACTTTTCAGAACTCTGAGCGATCCACAGGCACTTGTTTCGGTAATAAATTTTTAACCCATAGTATAATAATACTATGGGTTAAAAATTTATTACCAAAACAAGTGCCTGTGGAACGATCTCATAAGTAATTGTTCTGCTTAAATGTAAGTCAAGTTACTAATTCACAGTTACTGACACTTTACATATAACTGAACTTTATCTCAAAGGATTCAAATTAAAGGGGATACATCCTAAGAATACAATCATACACTGCCAATGTTTTGAGATAATTGTCAGTTTTCCGAAAATATGGATATTTTACATAATTTACCACTGTCAACTTCAGTTCATTAAAATACTCCAAATATATATTCCAGCAGTACATGGGGATTTAACAAGATTATGTAGTTAATTATCACTTGATATCCATTTATTTTTGTTTATAAATTTAACCCCACCTCCATGTAAAAGAGACACGGATGATTGTCAAACTATGTTTACTTAACTGTAAATATTATTAATTCATGTAATATTTTCATCCATATTAATTCTGGTATCTAATTCCTATAAGCTACAGCCCATTTGAAATAGTTGTCTAACAAAACCACCATTGAAATAATTTATAACTATAGACATGTTTCCCATAACAATTCAAAACAGTTGCTGTAAATAAAACGGTAGTGTATACAAACTTCCGTAGTGAAATATAGGATTTATGATATACAATATCTTTTTGTTGGTAGTTAAACAAAGAAAGAAAGAAAGCGGGAGATTGTTTCGTAACAATTTGGACTGCTTTAAACTACCTTTTTAAAGTTTTTATTACTCCTGGGTATCATCGGGTAGGTTGTACGCTCGTAAATACGAAAATCAAAACTGACAGGTAGAATAAAGACAAATGAAATCTATAGTGTGTTACACAGACAGAAACACAATGAAGAGACTGTCGTTTTTTCAGTCAGGCCTGCGTTGATAATATCAGCATTAAGTACAGATCCAGCTCGATTCAGATTTGAATTTATTTTAAAGAATTTTGTATAGGTGCATGTGGGATTAAATAGCAATACAGGTACGGTATCGCTCATCTCAAACTCTCATTTCTTCTTTTTTAACAGAATTTGCACACAAAGAAGTGTCGTCCTTTTTACGGATTTTACTAAATCTCTAATGGATTACAAACGAATTCCCGTTTAAGATTTTGTCTATGATGCTTATTAAATCTCAAGTCTGTCTATCCCAACAGTCGACACTGATAAAAACCTACTTATATCGATAAGTGCTTTCTAAATTTTCAAAAGCTGTATTCTAATTTTTGTATGAGAGAGAGAAAGGGAGAGAGGGAGAGAGAGAGAGCACGTGTTTGTGACTCAGAGAGAGAGAGATGAAATTCTTTATGACAATTTCCTATTATAGAGTTAGGCTTACCTAAGTCAATAAAAAATAATTTGCAAAGTAAATAAAGACTCAAGATTTTCCCTGCTGATTAAATAGATTTATGCTAAAACTGTCATTAGCAAGAGACGGCTTCAGTTGTTTGTAGATGTATTGAAATTTGAACGCATTATATCAACAATTCACTTTAATCAGACTGGGTCCATTTTTTTTTTTAAATTTCTGTCTCCTTAGAGAATTAAATGCCTCATAAAGGTAAGTTTTTCTTTTCAATTTTATTTTTATCAACACTTATCAAAATTATTATTCACAGATGTATAAAATCGTTTTGAATCAAAGGTTGTGTTTGTATGGAGGATTGTGTTAGAGTATGTATACATGTTCCTTTACTAGTCTAAATCCATCGTCTTTTTTCTCATTTCTGATAGTGAGGATATTGATTGCGGCTTATCTGTACTATGATTTATAATTACCCTCTTCATTCGATCTATATTTCATAAAACAAAATAAAATGAATTAAACCACAGGCACTTGGGGTATGGACACTCCCCCTTTTCCATTTTTTTTTTCTTTTTAAATCTGGGGTCGAGTCACCTTTTTCCTATTTTTGTATTGTTATCGATAATGTAACTCTTTTGTTTCTATAAGCTGTTTTTAAATATATCGCTTTCGACTGATACATAAAAATATGTATCAGTCGAAAACGATATATTTAAAAACAGCTTATAGAAGCAAAAGAGTTACATTATTGATAACATATAGTGCATATTAGAATACAAAAATAGGAAAAAGGTGACTCGACCCCAGATTTAAAAAGAAAAAAAAATGGAAAAGGGGGGGGGGGGTGTCCATACCCCAAGTGCCTGTGAATTAAACAGCATGGTTCCAACCATTGTACATGTACGTGATCATATTAGTAGAAAGGACAAAACAAAAATCGGAAAAGTCTGCATGGGTCATTGTTCTTTAATTTGTTGCCTTGGATAATGGTGGGTCAGTTAGTTATTTCTTTTTTTAGAGTTATAGAAGAGTTATATAGGAAAACTTCCATAAAGTCTCGGATGTCTCAGATTCTCTTAAGTTATAAATATACAATGCGCTAACTTGATTATTAAATTAAAAATTACGGAAAATCACCGACTTGTACCTTCCATTTCATTCTGAAGGAAATAGTTCGAACACGCGCCTGAATAGTGAACTTTGTCATTAAAGCCTTTAATTTGTATATTGCATGGTTTAAGAGCATGATTCTGTGGATTATTGCATGCCGTTTCCGTCTCTCATAGAGCAGTTACAGGACCTGACTGACAGTACATATATTAAATTGAAATGCGACGGATTGAATTCCATCACATTCGGTATGTTCGAAAGATATTGAATTCGGAAACAATGGACAGCTATTATAGATTTATTATCTTTGGAGTACGTAGGTAGCGTGCTGGCATATTGCATTCTTTGATTTATTACTTAATGATCAATTGTGATATTGAGAATCTGACTCAAAAATTTCTAGTGTTTTCTCGTTTCCAGCCTTGCACGTGTTTGCCTTACGTCATATCAATATAAAGGAATGCCATACTCATTAAAATTTTTGACAATCAATACTTTTCATTTTTTTTCTGCTTTCTAATCAAACCCATAGTACGTGGTCCGGGGAGGGGGGATGGGGTCTGATAATTATTTTTTGCTGTTATTAATTCAATGTGGAAATTTCATTGAACCCCCCCCCCCCCCGAAAAAAAAATAGTAGAACCCGCGTACGTTGTTGTACTCAAAAATCCTGTTGTCGAAAATGAGAGCGAATTTCTGTTCCCATCTCGTCCCTTCATGCAGTTTATATATATACATGAAGTATTTTCCCCCCAGCATGTCAATTATTTTTGTTTTGTTTGTTTGTTTGTTCCCCCTCTCTCCCTCGCTCTCTCTCTCTCTCTCTCTCTCTTGGTTTTGAACAAATAAAATCCTAGATTACCGTTTAATATGGAAGTTAAATTCTTGAAAGAAACAAGTTCTTTGTGTAATATCGAAAAACTAATGTTCTTATCTGATTCGCAACTAGAATCAATTACATATATAATTACATAATTTCCTGAAGAAACTGACATTTTCAAGATGCAATATTTGCTAGAAATTTAGAATTAAATTAAAATAAAAATTGCTTTCAGGTCACGATTTTGTAGAATGACTGTAAAAGCACACTTTTTGAGTAATTATTTCTTAAAAGTCACTGGAATTCAATTTTATTTTATAATTTACTGCATTTAAAGTAGGTATGCTTGAGGATAAACAAAATCCCGTACCGTTCTACAGTTCATATGAATACCCCCCCCCCTTTCTCCTATGTCGTGACGATAGGAGAAGAGGACTTTTGTTATTGGCTATCCTAAGTGTAAGACTTAAATGGTCTTTTGCTGATCAATAAAAGTTAGTCGTCAGTCTCTCTTAACTTTCATTGTATACTGATTTTTTTACTTAAATGCAATATTCTAACTGTGAACTAAAAAGGGTTTCAAAAGGCCTTAATTAAACCAAAAGGCCCTAAATATATGCAGGCCCGTAGCAACGATTTTAAAAGGGCTATCCCATTACCTCCAAAAAAATATCTGACAAGTAAAAAAAAAATATTTAACGATACAAACTCGAAAATCCTATTTCGTGGATGGGGTGGGGAGGGGTTAGGATCTTTCTCATACTTTCTGGTACATTTGTTTTTCCAAATCTGGAATTTGCCACTGATTGACCTTATAGCAACAAAAAGTAGGGCGGGGGGCAGCATGCAAATTAAAAGTTACTATATACTATAAAATACTATACTCAGAAAAAATGTGGCGCCCCCACCCCTCCCCCGCGTTCTACAGGTCTGATATGTTAATTCCTTGTTCTTTGAAGGTGGTGTGTTTGTATGAGAGAGAGAGGATGTGTGTGGCATACAAGTATATTTTCGAATATTGAAAGCATATTCCTTCTCCTCTATTTCAGGACAGTCTTGACTCTTGTATTTGCTAATGTAATGCATAAAAATCCCTGAAGTGGGTGGAGGTAGCATTTGCCAATATAAGATTCATCATAATCTATGCACACTGTATATAAAAGCACATAAGATTTTTTTCAAGCAGATAATTTATGATGACAATTGACATTTATAATTTCAATGCTTCATTACATTATTTAAAGAGCTTTTTAAATTCACTACATATAATCCAAATACAACATCATATAAACATTAGAATACTACATGTATAAATCGAGTAATCAAAATTATCTGCTTCAATTTACAGACTACATCAACAAATATTTTGCAATTCTTTCCTCGGATGCCCGTCTTTTTATGGCGTGTTTGTACAATAGAATAAAGTAACTACGCACACAGGATGGGTTGTCCTCAAAATGGCCATCGAAAGATTAGATATGTTTATTATTAAGTTATCGAATTTTTGACAGTTTGAGTGTGCTGTTCAATAAAATTCGACAGATAAATTCAATGTTAGACTGAGAGTCGCTGCAGACTAGTCAATGTATACATGTGTTTACTTTTCGCACCTGGCTACACGGCATTAATTTATCATATTTAAAAAATTGTATGAATTGATCGATGGTCCTGACTGTTGATGCAAGAGATTTATTAGAAAACATCTTTAAAGGTAAGCATATCAAATGAAAGTAAATTTGCAAAGTGCAGTTTAGTGTATACTCTTACAGTGCTTTTCATTGCCAACGCCTACGATGTATTTTGTAACGAAAGTTCCAAAGCTGACGACGACACATCTCAAACACCGATTTATATTAATGATATTGTGGAAGTGTGTCTATATCATCATGTTAATTATTAACTATACTTAAAGAGAATCCGCTAAAGATTTGATCTGATACTGTATGGTAAATGATGCCAATCCATCATTTAATCGATTCGTAATCAAACATACTAGTACACGGTATGTACCTTAGAATTTATTGGCCTAGCACAATACAACACAATACAATCAACACTTTCAATGTATATGGTTAAATTGGGGGGGGGGGGGGCTGCAGAACGAGTTGATTTTTGCAGACCATTAGAGCCCACTGTGTAAAGGACACCAATATCTCTTCACCTTATAAAGGTTAATTAAAAGATAGTATGTGTACTTTCAGCAACATAATTATTATTCATATATTGATTGGCTCTGGGTACTTTTAACAAGGTTAAGTCTTTATTCTCTCATTATAATTACTTTTCGTCTTGTCGGTTTATATTGTCAATTTTATTCCAGGTTTATTAGTGACTGCAGGGGGCCAATAGATTACTTATAATTAACAGGAAAAATACACGTATACAGGTAAAAACAACATCGCTACAGCCCTCCCTGCAAACATACGAAGTCCAATCTCCGAGTTGTGCTCACGACGCACCGGAATTGATTTTCCAGAGATTTTTCAATTATTTATATTGTGTATTACCTGAAAAGAATTTTGCTTTAAAACCCTAATCGTTTTTTACCGGTTGGTTGTCATCCGCTTAATCAGTAAAATTTCCTCGGCGCATGCACTTGCATCGGAAGATTTAATAAAAGAGTACGAGAGACTGTAAAGATTAAAATATGTATATCAGCAGTCCTCTTGCATAAGATTACAGTGGATTTAGTGGTATGTTTTCTCCGAGTGTTGAACTCCCCCTCCTTAGAAAGGATAGTCCATGGGCTACTTCCCCTGCATCTCGATTACCACCGTCACGGTCAGAACGAAACGGAAAATCGGAAAGAGGGTTTCCTCGGATTGTCCTGAGGGACAGCTTGGGAAATAAACTGGATACTTTTACCTACTTACAAGAGGCAATCTACAGAGCGGAGTGGAATGTGAAAAATTCTCACGAAGCTGTGCTTCCAGAGGAATGGCGCCTCCCCAAAGCCCCCAATCCCGCCAGACCAGACTACTCCCGGGCAGCCCCACCCCTAGCCAACACCCGGGCTAGGCTAAAATTAAAATCTCTGCAAGAGCAAGAGGTGTCCAGAAGTTTACCACATCCACGTTTTAGTGTAAGTATATACTTATATCATTAAACAACATATGTATGTGTGGTGTTAGCAACCACATCTTTTTATGGTGTTTGTATTCTGTAATTGTGACATGAACAGAAAGTCCAGTAATGCTTTCGACTACAAGTACATTAATTTCCTATTTATTTCCATGTTTATAATACTGATGAAATCAACAAACTAATCAAATTGAAGAATCTCTCTCTCTCTCTCTCTCTCTCTCTCTCTCTCTCTCTCTCTCTCACACACACACACACATAGGTAATCAATAAATTATATATATTGTTTCTATTATTGTACATTATTGTACTATACGAAACTGTTTTATCTGTCCCCTTTATTCGTGGTGCCCCAAAGCGCAAATAAGAGTGTACACTAAATACCACAATCGCCAGACGTGACTCTTGTGGGTTTTATTGTGCAAGCGCATATTCTCTACGAAAGAAATTGACTGCAGAATAAACTTAATAACTTTTGGGTGGACCATGGACCCCAAAATGAACTCATTTAAAGGGAAATTTAATGACGAAACCTTTGCGATTGTATACATAGTGTTTGGCTTTTTGAAAGCAATGACTCTATCGCAAATATCTTTATAAGGGATTTCTTAATGTAAACATCGTTATAAATGAAAAATGTCTTCCATCTTCTTTGTGAAAAAAGGGCAGTTAAAAGTTTTTTCTCTATTTATAATAGAAATATGCTTTAGTCGATTTAGACCGGTGAGTAAATCATAATATATAATTCTTTGAATATCACTGAGGAACACCCTTGTTATAAAGTGTGTCAAGTTCATCATGAACTCTTCAACTACATTATAACACACCAGTGTATAAATATGGTATACAAAGTGGTATTAAAATGAATCCTCTATCCATTTGTTTGTTTGTATAAATATCATTTAATATTTAATGTTTGCAAAGCTCTGTGCATGAACTACACAATCTAAAAGCTTTATTAAACAAATCGGTTAAATACCCATCCACATAGGCCTATCAATAAAACATGTTAAAGATTGAATACAGTACAGGGTAAGACTGTGTATATCTTTTTTCTTTCATTTAAAGAAGTAGAGCGTCCGGCTGGAAAAGATGAAAGGATCAGCAGTATTAAATAACTCTTGCAATATCGTTCGATAATCTTATCAGTTGCATTCGTTATCAAAAACAAAGCTTCAGTTAAAACTTTATCAATTTTTGTGTTGTGTGTCTTCGAATTTCTATTCAAATGCCACTTTTTTATTTCGTGGCCACAAACTAAGAAACAAAAGAAAATTAAGAAATGGTGTATGTCCATTAACCTCTGCCATCAAAAGGACAATTTTCTAAGGAAAAATATTGCTACAATTAAACATTTGCACGAATGTTTTAGTTATAAAGACTTATAAATCTATATCGGTCTACGATTAAAAGACTCCCCCCCCCCCCAAAAAAAAAAAAGGGAAGAAAAAAGTGAGGTTACTTCGTTTTATAAATCATTAAAAACTAATTTGTGAACAATTGTAAACGGTTAAAAAAAAAGTTCCCCCAAAAAGCAAGCTGCATGCAGTGTGGCCATCTTATTGTGAACACAAAAAATTAGAACTTTCGCTAACTCAAAATGTAAAATTTGGTTACAGTGTTCTCCTATTAGATATAGTCGTGCAAATGAATATCTCAGTGGAAATCTAAACGTCACTTTACCATATAATGAGCAGGCTTCAATGGAACAAGAATATTACAACCGGAAATATATATACTGCACGTATAGACTTCGGAATTGCGTAGATTTATAATTATCCGGTTTTGACACGGAGAGAGGGAAACTTCGAAAAAGTTTTCAGGTCTGATAAAAATAATTAAATTTTTAAAAGACAGATTTTAAGAAATCAGGCTGTAACTATCAGTACTGATAGAAAGGAAGGAGTGGATGGACTGTACTATGTTAAAAGTTAAATCATCAACCGCTTGAATGAATTTTCACAGGAGGGGGAGAGGTTGAAGAGTTCCTATGAAACTATGAAACGATCCCAAGGCCTTATTTAAAGATGTTTCTGGTTTTTTTTTTTTTTTTTTTTTTTTTTTTTTTTTTTTGCAGTTGGATTTAAAATACGAATTACGAAATAAGAAAAATATGTCTCAAACAAAGTTTTTACTTTTAAATTTTTACAAGCATTTTTACAAGCAACAATAGTCTTGATTTATGTTTACTTTAACATGTTTGCAGGTCCAGCACAATCTCTTAATTTAGCTATAATGTTTGAAATACCCATATAGCTTTATTAAGCTATTTAAAATAGCTTGATAAAGCTATATTTGAATAGAGTGTTTCACAAATACATTAATGGGAGAGGAGGAAAATGCGATGTACCAGCTAGACCAGAACTCGATCCCTCCGCATCTCCAGTCAGGTGCTTTGACGGCCACAGTTTTAAAAAAATATATACATGTATATACAGAATGTCTCAAGGATGTGACCATGCATATTTGTACTCTGGACCAGTGTTCGAAATTTAGAATTCAAAGGACCTACAGATAAAGGGACTACACGAGTCCTTCCAAGGCAGCGTAGGCCAAAATGTATTAATAATATGAAACAGAAAAAATTGAACGTCACACAGTCTTACTAAGTCATAAATATAACACCTAATGAGTTTAAAATGTGTTTATATTACTGTAAACATACTTTTCCTTGGAATTACAATTTCTGTTCTTAAAATCCGCAGGTAGAAAATTACGCAGGTTTCTTAGATTGCCACAGTATGTTGATGAAATGTACCTTAAAGTATACTTGGACAATGTAAATTTCCGTGGAAAGTTTGTAATTGCATACATATAGCGAAATTTATTCCACACAGAAAAAAATAAAATCTTCAGTATTTAATTAAATTGCATACAAAAAGAAGAATTGATAGGATCTTGATGAAAATAACAAGTTTTACCCGCGCGTGCCATCTTAAGTCCAATTTCTTTTAAAGACGCTCATTGGTTAATTTGTTTAAAATATTCAATTAAAATGCAGGAAAGATATAAAAGTTAATGTAAATGCATAAACCAATATACATTAACTTCAATTGCAACTTCTTAGGCTTTCCAAAAAGCGGTAAAGAAAAACAGTGGTGTATTTTTCCAAGCTTGCTGGAAAGGTCCGAAAAGATGTGATTGACGTTAACTTGTATCCCGGCAAATCATCGTCGGCCCAAAATTATTTCAAGGACCCATTTAGTCATACTATTCGTGAGTCCTTCCATTTGTACGTCTGCACAGGGCCGATGGGCTGACGCTAATTTCAAACACTGCTCTGGACTATTAAAAAGGGATTCGAAAAAGGATAGCTTAAACAATGTTGCTTTTGAACACTTTTTCATTATTAATGGTATAGAAAATTATTTAAATGTGTACATGTTGTATGAAAAAGAACATGAAAACTATGTTTTATTCATCAAGATTAATTTTTTATTGTTTAAATTTGATATAAGTGTTTTCCTAAGATGAAGGTTATAGGGCATGACTTAGCCAAATATGGGCATCCTCATATTTATTTATGTCCAAAGCATCCAAGAAATTTCTTCAATCAATTAAGGCATGATCCTAAGCATCAGAGAGGTTAATTATTATACTGTAGAAACACAAATTTTTGTGGGGGTAAAATTTCGTTGTTTTGTCATCTAGGAAGGTTTCATGGGTATTAAATTTTGTTGTTTCGAGAGTAACCCTATTCTATATATAGTCATATAAAAATTTTATGTGGGATTTAATTTCATTGATAATTGTTAACAACAAAATAAACAAAATTAAATCCACAACGAATATTTCTGCTTTTACAGTATAAAATATTTTATATATAATAATATATATTTAGTAATCATTGGTAATATACAAAAAGATTAAATAGAAATATTTTTTTAAAGTAATGATTAAATACTCCTTATTTCTTGTTTTAATTTTCAACCATGCTCATAATTGCACATTAAAGCTTTTGCAAATCACGGCCCCTTGATATTTTGAGGCAAAATTTTACATGTATGTAGATCAACTTCTTGAAGAACATGAAGGCTAGTTTGTAAATTTGATATCAAAATTGAATGTGCTGCACTACATTGTAGAGTTGTAGAAAATGTGCTTCAGGTTTATGGTTACAATAAGGAGATAAATTCATCTTCATATAGTTTGGTAGGAAGAGAAATATGTAACTAAGTGAACACTGAGGATCATGGCCCTCTAGTCTCTAGTCTTCAGTCTCTAGTGTATCATTTTTTTTTTTCTTCAATGAACTATGTTGCCATGGTTACTAAAAATAAAAATTTCTGTGAAATACTTTCAAAATGCTACTTCTTGTACAGTTTTGGTCTGATTTCAATATAACGTGGCAGACAAGTAGACAACACTAAGATATATAATTCTCTTTTATTAGTGCTGTTGCATAGTTTCAAGTCAAACTGCTACTTTTCTCTTCCTTTGTTTTAAGTCAAAACCATTAGAGCTACAGTCTCATCAGAGACTTCTGGTTTATGTAAATACTGAATTGGTTGATGATTGTTACAGCACCGGGTGTACCTGAAATATTATAAATAACAATTTCCTCTCTGAATTGGCACTTATAAGTTTGTATCGAGAGGCCTTGATTCATCTGTAGAATAACTGAAAAAGTGTGTATTTATAGAGTATTGTATACCTTACCCCCTTTGGACTTCTCAAAAGTGTTAATTATATTGCACCTTCTTATTCTCTTTCTGATACTTTTCTGGCAATGGTGATAATTATATCTTCTCTTGTTTGTAATCCTATCTCTTTAATGGGTTTGTTTAATCAATTCTTTTTTGTTTTTTTCACAGGAAATTGATGTTAATGATGTAGCATTTGTTGCAGAGAGGTATAACACTTTTATTCATTCTTTTCTTTTTTGCATACAAGCTTTTTTGAACCTCAAAATAACAAGCAAAAATTTTTAAGATGTGTATTTGATTTACTTTTTATTTCAAATTAAAAAGAGCATATAATAATGCAAAATACTTTTCAAATTTAATAACTTGACAATGTAAGAGAATTTGACATTCATTCACTAAACATTAACTCAAATAATGTGTAAGAAAACCTAAAATAAGACTTCAGAATTGTAAAAATGAAATTTATACAACGTTTATATTTTTTAAAAAGCTTAAACCAGCTCCCAAGAGTGCCTTCTTTGTCCTTTCTTCATCATGACCTCCTGGCAGAGCCCAAGAAATACTTCCAGATTGTTCATCAGGCCTTGGTCCAACAGCGCTACTATGCACAGACAGACAAACGGGAGAGAGTTTACAATTTTCCTGGTTTCTGTATGGGGTGTCGGAGGTCGGGTCTGTGCTATGGTTGTGAACGCAGCTCTGCTCCACAGTAAGTTTTGTAATGTAAACTATAATCCAGAGAAACTGGATTGCACCTACAGTCAAGCATTTAAATACAATCTCAGATATTCTTTTGGTACATTTTGATTTCATGGAAATCTTAGTCTCAAATTGTATTTAATAAATTCCTCATTATATATGGCAAGGGCATATAGTGCTTGTCATGTCCATCTTCTGCCCATATTTGAGTGGATTCCAAAATTAATGGAATGATTTCACTAGTCAGATGGAATTCTTTCATTTAATAAACTTTTGCATCACCTGCAGAGCAGAGTGACACTTAGGGATCACTTTACCCACAGTCTGTCTGTCCGTCCGTCCATCATCTGTCACACTATATCTTGAAAACTGTTGAAGGTAGGGATTTGATATTTGGCTCATGTATTGCTTGGAAGAATGGCTTTTGTAAAATACCAGGGTGACTGACCTTGTGACCTTCAAACTTGACCTTTGACCTACTTTTCAAAATATACCATAGTGCCGATATACACATATTCTTTGACTTTTTAGAGGTAAGTTTGTGCTATTTGACAAGCACTGCACTGCCTTTTTATAAAACATGTTGAAAAATAACAGTGCTACAGTCCACCTGACCTTGGCATTTGGCCTATTTTCAAGAATACTCTGAACTGTTGTTTTGTAATTAATTTTTAGAAGTATGGCTTTGTTAACTAGCATTTAAAAACATGTTTATAACCTACTGACATTTTCTCTCAAATGTATTAATGACTTTAATCACAGGTCAAACTGAAATTTAAATACATTCTGTTAGCAATCAAACATCACTCGGCCTCCTCCAGTTTTTCTTGACTTGATGGAAAAGGCCATGTATTTTCCTATTGTTCCATTAGTTGTCTTTGAAAAAACAGGAGCAATTTACCAACTTTTGATTGTGATCTTGGGAATTATTGAATTAAATTTGTGTTAATAATTTTTTTCTACCAATAATAAAATTTTCGCGACTTGACAGGAAAGGCCAGTGTTCTTCTTGACTTGAAGGAAAATCTTGTGTGATGTTTCCATTGTAGAGTTAATTCAGGATCGGTATACTGACTTGTGAACCTCAGAGATTGTTGAAATAATCTCGTATGAATGGATGGTTATTTTAATTTAGTTTGATTATTCATTTTAGCTTGAATTTATACCATTTACCATGAATTATCATGGATTTTTTCTTTGCTTTAACTATAATGCTAGTATAATATTTAAAAAATAGATGACCACCCTGTAGTTTTATTTATGTCTTTAATGATGCTACAGAAGGCGAACATGCGTTCCTTGGAACATTTTAGTTTAAAATACATGTACCGTACAAAAAAAATGTGAAAACTAAGTGATGTGGAAAATCAGATTTTTTTTTAAATATCATTTTGGAATTGTGTTCATCACCTAATATTAGGGGAAAATGCATTGAAATGGAACAAACTGGTAAATTTCTTCAATACCTTGTGATTAAATACTTTTATGAGAGGTTTCCTGTGTTTGCTTTATAATTGGATGGTTAGGTTATTGTGTTCAAAGGTCAAAAGTTTAGTTATCTTGTACAAAAGATCAATTTCACTTTGTGTCAGAAAATTACAAAATGTTTTATAAATGATAATCAGTTGTTGAATTGGGAATCATTAAGACTAATAGAAAAGTAGAGTATTGACATTTTTACAGCATTTTATAGAAATGTCCCTACTGAAATAAGGGAAACACACTAAATATATACATGAAATCCTTTATTGAAAAGATATTTTTAAAATTAAAAATTATTGTGGATTAAAAATAAAAATTTGTGAGAGTGTCTGTATATATATATATATATATATATATATATATATATATATATATATATATATATATATATATATATATATATATATATATATATATATACATATATATTCATATATATATGTTTTTTGGTTGGGTTTGTTTTTGGTCACATCGGAATTTTGGAATTTATGTGCACATTTCATCTTTATATGTATAGTTGCTAAAGTTGATATCTTGAATACCATGGATATGTCAAAGTGATTTGTAAGTCCCAACCACTTTTTCTTAAAGTATTTTACCCTTGATATCTCAAATTCTTGGATATCTCTAAGTTTTTGTCTTGGTCCCTTCAAGTCCAAGATATCAAGGTTTGACTGTATGTCTTTTTCCCGTTTTTCTTTAAGTTATCACATTGACCGCATCATGAAGACCGGTGGGGGATTTACCTACCATAAACATGACCATCCAATCAGAGAAAGACCTGACAAAAATCCGTCCAACTGGAAACTTGCCTTTCCCGAACTGGCTTTGAAACATCTCATCCAAGGTAATAGATCTGAGCCATTGATCAGTATTATTGATCTATATGTAGCTATGGATGGTATTCTCATTAATCTTAATCTAGGCCATTCATCTGACTGAGAAATACAATCAATCCTAATGAAGTCATTTTGAATATGATGGCAGTATTAAAAGTTGCTAATAATGCTATTGATTATGCATAGGAACAAAATTATAACTTATGAAGAAAAAAGAGATAAGAAAAAAATTACTGAAGTCCAAGAAAATATCTATATACTAATGACATTGAAGAGTAGTGACAGTATTTAAAAAAAAAATTGTAGAATTAAAATGATATATATTGTTATTAATCAATTAAAATGGGCTATTACATTCAGACCATGTTGTGCTATGTTTGAATTGTTACATTCAGACTATTTTGTGCTATGTTTGTACTCTTGTTGAAATATAAAATTTTATTCAGAGCATGAAAATGGCTCAGAAAACAAAGCTGATGAAGATGTAGAAGTTGCAGAGAAGATGAATGAAGCCACCAGAGGCTATCAGTTGTTTAATCAAAAGGCCCCCAGCGGTAATTAGAATCTCTGTATATATGTGTTATTATACACCTCAGGATGACAGTAGTTTATTCCTCTTTTGTTCAGTATTAAAATGCTTCCATTAGTTGATACAATAGTAGTTATTATACAAATGTATTGGCATGTTTTTGCCACCTGCAGACCAGAAAGGGAATTCATGTATGGCAATAAACATGTCTCAAAGTGGAGGTACCGCTATATTCTTTTACCCACAAAAACATTTCTTGTATTACAATATATCTTGGAAAAAAATGGAAATGCTATGGGGTCGATGTCCTATTCAAGGTCATGGAAGATGAGAACTCTGGTTCTGTCTCTTTAATAAAACTGTGATTCTACATTCTGAAAATCTCTCTTTACTCTAGGTGTATGAGCTGATAATAGAAGTGTCCAGCTTTTTGTATTTTTTTAAGCAACCTAATCTTGTAGACAGTTAATATGAAACTAATCAAATTTATCATCTTAGAACATATTTAATGTACATAGTCACTATTACAGTAGATCAAAATCTAGCCATCTTTCTTTTGTTATTTGTGGTGCAAAATGTGAACCTACGCATTCAGAAGCAGTATATTTGACAGGTCTGTAAGGCTTGTTTTGGTTAATTTTTCAAGACAAACCTAGTTAAACCAAGTTAAAATTAAAAATAATTGTATAGGACTGGTGTTTTTCAGGCACTTGGTAAAATTTATCAATATTTTGTAACTTTTATAGACTATGGTCATCAAGCTGTGGTGGAGCACATTGAGGAGGACAGTGTGGGGACACAGGAGGAGATCGTGAAGCAGTGGGCCATGATGAGGGAGGAACCATTAATAGATGACAGGGAGAGGGGCCAGAACAAAAACAATGACAGGTTACCTCCCCTTCTTGGTCTAAATATTCTATACAGTGAAACTTGTCTAATCCAGATGTTGTGTGTTTTGAAATCTTTCCTAACACGATGTAAACTTTGAAATCCCTCTCAATAAATTCAGTTGTTTAAAATGTTGTCTAATCCAAAATGTTGTTTAATCCGGCCAATTTTTCTTTGAAACCAGTGGTGTGTGGATTAGAAAAGTTTTATGTTATATTTATAGAGTTCCAGACATCATTATATTTTACATAAAGTGCAGACAAAACAGGGGAAAAAACAGAAGCAACTATTTTTTATTTAAAAGTTATTAAAAGCAGGCAGCTGAAAACTTTGGATGTTATGTCTTATGAATATGTCTTTTTAATTAAAGTCCTTCTTGCAGGTTAAGAGAAGAAAACATGGATGCCATGTCTCCTTGGACAGATCCCACTTCTTTGAACAAAGAGTTAATAGATGAAAATTTATTCAGAGGAGAGAGTCATACAACAAGAGGTTCTGAAGACATCACCATTCGTATGGAGTCCCAGGGCAAACAAGATTATAAAGACAGCTCCACAGACCAGGGGAGCCAGCAGCTTGATGTTCAGGATCAGAGGTCAGAACACTCTGATAGGGACGGCAGTGGTTCAGTGAGAAGTGAACATGAACTGGAGGATCCTGTTCAGAATCAGACTGATAATGATGCTGATAGTGAAGGTAAGTTTAATACATACTGTGGAATTATCATTGTTCATGGAGGATCGGCGTTCGTGGATTTTGTGGATAAACCCTTACTTATGAAGTTACATCCCCATGGATATTGATACACATGTACATTGAGAACATCTTAATAAAACATGTAAGTTACCCATGAAATTACATCCCCATGAACCAGGAAATCTTTGGTTACCCGTGAACATTTACCCCACGAACAAAAATGATTCCACAGTACGTCTTTTTCATGTATTTTTAAAAAAGGTTTCATTTTTGATGCCATTTTTATTGTATATTCAGAGTCTACACCCAAAGAATAAGTGAATACACAGTTTTATTAAGAGGACTTACCTTTTATCCTCTGCAAAAAAAAAACCAAAAACTTTGCTAGAGTGCATTATTGTTAGCTTAAGTAGTTGTACAGAACATGGATTTGTGAGTGGGTTTAACAGTCATATCACCTACATCTGTTCCACTTTGTAACACTGTTTCTTTGTTCCTCAGTATCATGTTTACATAAAATGTAATGCATGGTACATAACAATGCATTTAATTTTCTAAGTAATGGAAAATCCTGGAAAATATATGTTCTAGAGCAACTTAAAAGTTTTTTGCTACACAGCAAATTCACTATAGTCAAATTCAGGAGAAATGTAGGATGGGAGACAACTCTTATTCATTACTGTCAAGACCAATCTTTAAGGTGGTGATGTATAAATCATGTAAATTCATATGTAAGGAATATATTTTTACTACATAGAATCAAATCAAATTCAAATGTTATAACATTGGTTTTAGTACATCTTTAGATTTTTAGCTCACCTGAGCCGAAGGCTCAAGTGAGCTTTTCTGATCAAAATTTGTCCGTTGTCTATCGTCGTTGTCGGCGTCGTTGTTGTCGTAAACTTTTCACATTTTCATTTTCTTCTCCAGAACTACTGGGCCAATTTCAATCAAACTTGGCACAAAGTATCCTTGAGTGAAGGGGTTTCAAGTTTGTTCAAATGAAGGGCCACGCCCTCTCCAAGGGGAGATAATTACGGAATAGCAAAAAATTAATGGCATTATTGAAAAATCTTCTTCTCAAGAACCAGTGGGCCAGGAAAGATGAAACTCATGTGGAATTATTGTCAGGTAGTGTAGATTCAAGTTTGTTCAAATCATGACCCCCCGGGGATAGGGTGAGGCCACAATGGACGATCAAAGTTTTACATAGGAATATATAGGAAAAATCTTCAAAAATCTTCTTCTCAAGAACAGCAAAGCTATGATTGGTCATATTTATTTGGAAGCATCCTTAGGTGCTGTAGATTCAAGTTTGTACAAATCATGACCCCCGGGGGTAGGGTGGGGCCACATTGGACGATCAAAGTTTTACATAGGAATATACAGGAAAAAACTTCAAAAATCTTCTTCTCAAGAACAGCAAAGCTATGATTGGTCATATTTATATGGAAGCATCCTCAGGTGGTGTAGATTCAAGTTTGTTCAAATTATGACCCCCGGGGATAGGTTGGCTCCACATTGGACGATCAAAGTTTTACATAGGAATATATAGGAAAAATCTTCAAAAATCTTCTTCTCAAGAACAGCAAAGCTATGATTGGTCATATTTATGTGGAAGCATCCTCAGGTGGTGTAGATTCAAGTTTGTTCAAATCAAGACCCCCGGGGGTAGGGTGGGGCTTCAATGAACGATCAAATTTTTACATAGGAATATATAGGAAAAATCTTTAAAAATCTCAAGAATAGCAAAGCCACGGTTTGTCATATTATACCGAAGCATCCTCAGATAGTGTAGATTCAAGTTTGTTCAAATCATGACCCCCCCCCCCACTCCCTTTTTAGGGGTAGGGTGGGGCCACATTGGACGATCAAAGTTTTACATAGGAATATATAGGAAAAATCTTCAAAAATCTTCTTCTCAAGAACAGCAAAGCTATGATTGGTCATATTCATGTGGAAGCATCCTCAGGTGGTGTAGATTCAAGTTTGTTCAAATCAAGACCCCCAGGGGTAGGGTGGGGCCACAATGAACGATCAAAGTTTTACATAGGAATATATAGGAAAAATCTTTAAAAATCTCAAGAACAGCAAAGCCACGGTTTGTCATATTTATACGGAAGCATCCTCAGATAGTGTAGATTCAAGTTTGTTCAAATCATGACCCCCCCTCCCCCCCCCACTCCCTTTTTTGGGGTAGGTTGGGACCACTTATGCATTTAAGCTTTTCAATACTTAACTGATTTTTCCTTTTTTCCTAGCCACAGTGCTCAGGTGAGCGATGTGGCCCTTGGGCCTCTTGTTTAGATGTTATTTTAATTAGGTCATGACCATGACAAAGGTTATGCTTTGAAATGTGGCATCAATTATTTTGAAGAAGAAAATCTACCTGTACATTTTATTTTTGTATGTTTTATTTGAGATACATGTACATATTGCTATAATACATGTAGATATAAAGTACATTTTATTTAAGGGGAAGATGATGATACAATGAAAAGCTCCACTAAAAGGAGAGATAAATCCTACACCAGTGGTACAACCGGTAAGGATAGTCAGAAGTCAAGTAAACTGGGCACAACACCTAACTCAGGACTGGGCACAACACCTCACTCAAGACTGGGCACAACACCTCACTCAAATCTGGGCACAACACCTCACTCAACAGGAGACACATCTGGTGGGTAATTAGTGAATCCATCAAATTGTAATTTAGGAACATGCCTTGTTGACACCTTTTCTCATGTTATTGTAAATATTTCAATGGATTTATAAGTATTTCTGAACAACAAATCACCAAACTGTACCACAAAAATTGTTTTCAAAATACATGTATATCAATTAAATGAAACAAGTACAAGCACCCCTGCCCCCCCCCCCCCCCCAAAAAAAAAAAAGAAATATATTAAAAAAATAAGGGTAAGCCATAAATACTGTGCCTCTTGAATTTAGTGAGTTCACACCAAAATCTAAATTTGCTTATATATATAAGCTTGCTTGAAGCCCATGTGTATGTGTGTTCAAAAAGAATTATGTTATTTTCTGATTGGTGTCAATGTGAATGAGTTACAAATGTGAATACACCTAATCTGAGCTTATACAGTCTTGCAAGGTTGCATCTGCTTGAATTGATGTTCCTTTGATTGCTTTCATTAGATAAACGAGACAGACCAGAAGACAAGAGTGAAAAAAGCGGGAGTAGTCCATACAGCCCATACAGCAGTCGACGCAGGAAACCACTGTATAAAGGTCAGTTAATCTTAAAATTATAAGTGTTTAGCATCAATCACTGTATAATGGTGAGTTAATCATAATAATAATAACTGTAAAATGGCAACCATTGTATAAAGGTCAGTTAATCATAAAATTATAAGTGTTTAGTGTCAATAACTGTCAGTTAATCATAATAATTATATCTGTATAATGGCAACCACTGTATAGATGTCAGTTAACCATACTGTATAACTAACATTATATTGGTTGTTGTAAGCATCCTGCTCATGTATACAATTTAGGTCTGTATACTTAAACTATAAGTAAAGGCAATCACAGCCACCTATATTCACTGAAATATGAATTATTAAACATCTGTGTTATGCAGTTGTGTACTTTCAACTGTTTACTATTACTAGAAGGCATTTGTTAGTTGTGTTTAAATGCAACGTTAAATGTAATTTTTTCAGCCCCCCCCCCCCCCCCCCCTTTAGAAGTGTTCCAAAACGTTCACAAGATCAACCTATTCAATATGCTTATTGCTTGGTTCTTAATTTGAACATGTTTTGATTTGTAGAATGCAGTTCACCAAGTAGAAGTCCAAGTAATAGATTGTTGTATTCAGCACACAGTTGTTTAACACATCTATGTTAAAATTGTTCACATGCAGTCAAAAATTGTACAGAAAAATCAGTCACTGATGGAGTTATCTTTCTTTGATAATGTAACCCTTTTGAAATTTTTATTCAATTTTTAATCCATATTGCCATGTTCAAAAAGAAGTGAACAATTTTAGCAAACCCCCCCCCCCCCCCCCCCAAAAAACTTACACGTCAAGTAAATGAATTTCACAGCTCTGTCTTTGGAAATTGGGGACACATATTACGTGAATGATAATAAACAAATCTTTGTAATATCTACACAATTTCTACCACAAACACTGTAAAATAATCACATCATCTAAAATAATGGTTTTACACCTGAATCTTTGCATGCTTTGTCTCCATGTATGTTTTCTACCTTGGGATGGTCTGAACATATTCTAACTCAACTCTTTGTATGTTTTTTTGCAGAAAATGTAAATAGAATGTGATTTTATGCAATTCTGAATACAATAATAGTTGTAATTCTTTTGAATGCTGTTTTTTTTAAGAATTAGAAATAATCTGTATGTCTTACTCCATTTTGAAAAAGTCATAAGGTAGAGAATAAGTTCTAACTGACCATTTTTTAAAATATATTTTTCAGCTCCACCACCGTTCAAGATAAAGCATCAAAAAAATCGACAAATTGATTCACATTCCCCATTCAGTACTGAGAGACACTATGACCTGCCTAAAGGAAGTGGCTTCCAGGTCAAAAAGAGTGAAAAGAAACTCACAGAATTCAAGGAATTTAAGCATCATGAAGGAAACTGGAAAGTAGGCTGCCTATCTTCCCACAATAATTCTGTTCTAAATTATGTTATTTTTTTTTTTGGGGGGGGGGGGGGGGGGGGGTAAATTTTGTATTCACTAACTGTCACTAACATGTTGATTTGAGTTCTTTTATTCATAAGGGATTTGAAAGTTGTATGCAGTCATTGAATACTTGCAGTCAATTTAATTTAGGGGGAGGGGGCAATTTTCTAAGACTGCTTAAAATTTACAGGTCTGTGGAGGGATAATTTGTTGAGCAAACTTCTAGTTAATAAAGATACATGTATAACCCATAGATCAATATTCTTTGAGATTTACACAAAAGAACTACGCACGCTAACTCTTGATTCCCGCCTACATTTTACACCCATTTAATTCAATACTAATGGCAATTTGGCCTTAAAATCTTTGTTGAATGCAAAGAACAGTTCAATGGTAATTGAATGATAATTTTAATACCAGTGTTAAATAGTTAATTACCCCTAATTCCAGCTCTTTAAATAAGAGGGGTAGACGATATTTTCCATTGAAATTGGGCTTTAAAGCATCACCACATTTTAAAATATTTTTAAATATGAATAAATGTTCCTTAAATCATTTCTTATGTTTTACGCATATAACATTAAACATATATTATTAATAAAATACAGTGGTTTTAGTTGTAAAACCCTTGAATTTGGTGAAAAAATCAGCATTTTTGTAGTTTTTTTGTCTGTAAACTTATGTCCCCCCCCCCCCCTGTGAAACACAAAAAGCTTTTGTATGAATCCGTAAAATGACAGTCCATATTACCAGAAAAAGGAATTTTTGTTTCACGAGGGGGGGGGGGGAAGATGTTTTAAAAATATTTTCCGTCTTCCGTTGAAAAACACAAGTTTTACCAAAATTATAGAGTTATCTCTCTTTGTTTTCCCAAAGAAGTAATGTTTTATGAAAATTCATATAAATATCTACATAAATTTGAAAAATCCTTCAAATGTGTTAACTTTGGAAAATTGACTTGGAGGTAGGTGGGAGAACAATACTATCGTTTGCAGTTCTTTGTGAATAATGGATGTGGGTATCTCATAAATGTAAAGATGTCTATCTACAATTACTGTAAACCAACTTTTATTCCTGTGCGAGAAATATCCTCGAGTTTTGCGACCTAATTAAACTCACATATATTTATCGCAGCGAACCATTTATTCTACTTTGCATTTGTTGAGAATGTTTCCTTAGTCACGAAAATTAATAGTTGTGGATTTATTTCAAACTAACGAAACGCAAATAAAAGATGACGCGAGTAATAGTTGGTTTACAGTACTTTGTTTATTACGAGAAAAATATGAATTAGGAAGAAAATTAATCTTTGAGATATTTAATTTATTAATTTTTGGGTTAAGGATACCAACAAAATCCCACAAAAATTTAATGCCACAAAAATAATTAATCCATAGTAATTGATAACCCAGGTGTTTCTAACAGACTTTGAATCAATATTTGAATTAAAATCACTTGAGTTTACCTCTGGGCTGTGAGTATGAATTATGTCATTATGTCTTGTTTTTGTCTATGATAGTGAAGACACACTCCTCTGACAGGAAGTCTAACATCTTTAATTTATATTTGTTGTCATTCTCTTCTGTAATGACCTTTGTAGGAGCCTGAGAAATTCACCGTGAAGAAATCAGACAAACACAGCACAGATTTCTGGAGTCCACCTAAGAAGAAGGAGGTAATTATACGAAGTTTGAAGAAGAAATTACTTTTTTAAGTTAATTAATTCTATTAATATTATTACATATTATGATTTATGGATTTATTTTCATAGAGGCTGATGTAATTTTAAATTTGAAGATCTAAATTACCACAAGCAATATTTTTGATGTTTATTTTCTTAATTACAGGCAAAAAAGAAGGAAAGGTAGGAGTTTCTTTTAATATTTATGCCGAGTGTTTGCTTTTCTTTCATTGCTGGAATTTTCTGGCAAAGAAAAAGGAGAAACAGTTGAAATGAAAAGTTTTGTGTGTATTTGATGTAGAGTTAAGAAGCAAGTAAGGCCAGTCTCCCCTGATTCAGGACTGGAAAGTGAGAAACCAACAGGTGAGTTTAGGCTTATATATACATGTTTATGTTTATAGTCTATTGCTAGATATATGTAGCTGTATCTGAGAATCTTTGTGATTCTCATTAATTTAAAATACTGTATACGGGGAAATATTTGCCCTCATTTTATTTTCGCCGTTGTAAATTCTATGGGGCAAAATGTAAGAGAAAGAGTTATCTCTCTTTTAACACAATTGTGTTGGGGCGAAAATAACATGGGATGAAATAGTTTGCAAAAAAAGTGTAAGAAAACTGTCATTACATTGTTATTCAGAAGACATGAGTGTATTAATGATAATGTCTTTTTTAAAACAATTTCACTCAAGCAATATGTAAGCATGTATGCATTAGACATCATTTTAAGGCTGTAGTTGTACATAAAAGTATTTGAGATGTACAAGAAATTTTAGGAATGAAACTTGAAAGTCAGCCTCATTTGTTTCCATTAACTGAACATGAACTGAATGTATCCGAAGTCAAAGAAGGGAATCAGAACTCATCAGATAGATCAGACAAACATCAACCAAACTCTGCTGTCAGTCACATTTCAATAGAACAAAGAAATGAAAGTGAACACAAGAAAATTAGACCACAAAAAACTCGGGGTGTTTCATTGGACTCTTCTAAGAAAGCAAATAAACAGATCATTGTATGTCTTAATGAAGAGGCCTTAGATGGGGAAACAAAACTGAACATAAATGGATGTTGTAACGAAGAGGACTTCAAAGGGAAAAGTAAACAGAACAATACATATGAAAGTCTCAATAACAAAGTCTTTGATAAAAGAAACGACCAAAATATTGTGTATTTTGATGATGAGGCCTTTTATAGGGGAACTGAACAGAATGATGAGTGTCATGATGAAGAGGCCCTCAAAAAGGAAAATAAACAGAACAATGCACATGTACATCTTGATAATAAAGTCTTAGATGAAATTAATGGACAAAATATTGTAAGCATCGGTGATGAGGCATGGGATGAGAAAAATAAACAAATTCTTGACTCTGATTTTGAAGAGTCTAAGGTAACAAGTAAAGCCCTAACATGTTGTCAAGAAGAAGATTTATCCAAGGACAATAAAGCACATGATAAGCCTACATTAGTGAAAAAGACATCAAAAACAGAGATGGCTCCTTTGCCAGATGTCAGAAGTATCAGTGAAAAATGCAAAAATTTGCCACCAGCAGAAAATGTTTATCATTTTGAAAATCAGACTGGAGATCTTTCCACTGTGGAGAACTCAGAGTTTCCCAAAAGCAAAATTAATGGAACACATGCCATGACAACCCGCAGCAGAAATTCTAAGTCATCTTCAATGTCTGACATAATGAGTACACTGGAAAATAGACAGATAAAATCAAAACAAATTCTGAATTCTGGCATCTCATTTCAATCTGTGGGGACTGAGAAAGACTTCAGAGAGAAAAAAGATTTGTTTGAAAGGCGACTTCGAATTGTCCAAGGCAGCAGAAAAAGGAGACCTGCACTAACTGAGATGAGATCAGTGGAAACTAAAAAGACTGGGCCCTTACTGCATGACAAGTCTGTGGATACTATTAAAGGTGAATCACATCTGCATTCTGTGGAAACTAAAACATCTGGGTTTCTTCTTCATGCCGGCATACAGATTGATACACCTACAGAAATCCTCTCAGACACACCACAGAAACCAGGCGATGATGCAGGGCTTCTGAGAGACATTCTCACAGCAAAGTGTATGTTGAATTTAAGACATTTGAATTTTGGAAGATTGATCTATAAAAATATTAAGTGAATTATCTATTTTCCTCCAGAGGTCAGATGTTAGAGGTTAACAAACAGTCCACTGATTTTATTTTTCTATTTAGCTGTCAATTTTGAACTGATTCCATCCAGTCAACATAAATCTTACCATTTCTCCAAGGATCACCCCACTGGTAACACACCTGATATGTGTGACTCTTTGGAGTTCTTTTTTAACTATGTTTGAGAGGCCAATAAATGTGTAATTTCTTTACATTTCTATTTCTTGCATGCAGGCATGTCAGGAATTGATAGAGATTCCATTCTCCTATAAAGCTGATGATGAATTTCTTGATAATAATGTGCTTTAGCATAGCTCTCAAACATTTGCACACAAAAAAGATCAAATTTCACCTGTCACTTTCAAAAAAAAAAGTAAATTTTTATCAGGTTATGCAATATGTTATCAATGTCTGGGATAGAAAAAAAAGGAACTTTATATGAAAAGTCAGATTTAATGAGATTTAAAAGTATTCAAATACCATAAGCAGTCTTTCAATATTGACCGGTCTTTATTGAAAAAGAAATTGATTACCCCCACATGACATTTCTCTGTGCCCTGGGAGAGGAAGTTCTTATTACAGACTTGGTATCCGTAAATCCATTCAAGTTTATAGCTGATCCAAAACTGCTGGATAGCAATTTAAATTCTTAACCATGGAGCACTCCTCTAAAGATTTTCCACACAATGTTATGTATCCATGTGTTTGTAGATTGTCTTATAATATTAATTAAAATATTGATTAGTAATGACTAAGGAAGAATTTTCTTTCTAGAATGGATAATCGAGGCCAAAGTAAACAAACAATTTGTTTTCTTACCCTTTGTGTTCATACAACAGTTGAAACATTTTATACACTCTATATAAATACTGTACATATCCAAGTTCACTATAGATTTATTTGTCAGTTTGCAGTGTTTCAATGAAAGCTGATAACTAGCTACTGTTTGAATGTGTATTCTAAACAAGCTGACTCCTAGCTGTCAAGCAATACAGAAAAACAAAGAAATTTAATAAAGGAATTTAATTGCTTTGCTGGATCTTTATTTCAATTGAAATGAAAATATTGATTCTTATTAAACAGCAATGTTTGTCGATATTTTTTTCATAAACTGTTTTATTTTGATTTGCATAAATTAAGAGAAGTTTTTTTTTTTAAACAAGAAGAAACCAAAAATTAATTGAGCTATCCATGTAACTTAGTCAAGCTATGAGTTTGATTGTGAAAAGTCTTCTGAACATTTTGTGTAATACTGATCGAGACATGGAATTTGTTCCCCCCTCAATTTGTGAGTAAAGAAAGAAATTTTGTATGCATACTTTTTTTATGATGTAATTTATAAATGATAAAGTTCCTTTTGTCACATTAAAATTATCATGTGATAGAGATTATATCAAGCATTTCATGAGAAGTGCAGATACTTCCTGTTTTACATGTATAAGTACAATGAAACCTAGACTAGTTTTTAAATCTAATTTTCAGGAGTTAACATTAGATCCTGTATTTATATTAAGGTTTTGATTTGAATAAAAACAGAATGTATTAAGTTCTTCATATTTATTTTGTTGGGTAATCTGAGAAACAAAGGAATTTTTAGGCCACTAGCCATGTGTGAGATTGCTTTTAATTATGTTCAGGAGTGGCTTTGTGAAACAATTTTGTTCTCAATATTTAATTTTTCTTTGTTCATTTTCTTTAGTTTATGGGTTTTCATTTACTTAATATGTGTGTTTGTTATTTCTCATGTTTTTGAGTTGTTGATTTTATCCCTGTTTGAGCATGGCAGGTTGGTAAATTGAAAATTTTGTTTAAGCTGCTGTTCTGTGTTTTCTTTTTTTATTCACACTTTTTTTATTTATTGAATTTAAAATGATCCTTGTAAAGTTTTTGTTTTAAAATAATTTTGAATATTAATTTATTTCTAGACTTGTTTAGAAAATACTTCATATGTTATCTTTATTTCATTTGGTATACAATAATTAGTCAATATTTATTTATATATAAATAGTTTCATGTTCCATTTTCTGATTATAAAAATACATGTATATGATGATGGATTTTATTTTTTTCTCATTTCAGATTCTGCACAAGAACTGCCACTGAAATCTCCAGCTTTGATTGAAGCAGGTATGCATCAGTTTAGAAAAGTGTGAAGTATATTTATTTACTGTTATTTGTATTTCATTTAAGATTACAGTGTACTTTATTTTGTGTAATATTGCTAGATTATTTTAATGCAAAAATGAATATCCCATGATTTTATTATTTATTGTAAGAATGGTATGCAAAAAGTATTTCTTATGAATGAATACAAATGCACAAAAAATCTCACAAAATATGAGTGATGTATTGTACTTTAACCTGTATGGTGTTTTAATAAGTTTTTTTCTACATGGACAACAATCAGCCACTTGTATCTAAACTGTGTATGTATTGAGTATCCAAATACAGATATAAAGCATGTGTAAACCCTAATACTTCTCTACAGTGGATATCTTTCTTTAGCTTTTGGGGAGAGGGGTGTTTGTTTGAGTTGCAGTTTAGTGTTTTTTTTAAATTCTTTATGATCTACAATTTCATGTTATTTTGAAAGATACGAATAATATTCTATGGTTAAAATACAGTTGAACTTTTGAACTTCAGTATCTCAAACACCAATATCTTGAATACCATGGATATGTTGAAGTGATTTGGAAGTCCCAATCACTTTTTCTTTTTTTTTCTTTTTTTATCTCAAATCTTCAGGTATCTAAAAATTTTATACTAGTCCTTTTGAGTTGTAGATAACCAGATTTGACTGAATATCAATATAATGAGGATAGACATTAAAATTAGGGGGTGTGATATCACTTATAAAATATTCTACACAAATGATGGAAAAGAAGAAAAGTTTTACACTTGTTGGATCTGAAGGAAAAGATTATTTAAATGAGTTTTAGCTTCTTCTTTTTTTCTCTAAATCTAATACAATTGTACCATGCATATTTCTGTCTTCAAAAACAAAGTATATAAACACAGATCATTGTACTTTGTTCTATAGAATTTACAAGAAAAATAAATTATTTTAATTTATAAAAATAAAAAAGATTTGAAAAAGAAAATTGGAAGTTGATCACATCTGTTTAAGGGATCAAGAGGTTATTTTCTTAAGGCATTAAAAGGATGGAGAAGTAGAGATGATCTATAAATATATTAATCCTGAATTTAAGGCCAGACGACACGTTCCTTGAAAATATATAATTTTTCCCAAGAATTTGTCATTGAAGTATCACTACTTAAAGAAGTTTCCTCACCAAAAATTGAGGTGCCTTGCCAAGCATTTGGGCAAAATACCAGAGGGTGATATTTCTTATATAATCCTTATGGGTAATCTTTTGAATTGCCAATGTAACAATTTTTGGTGTACTTATTTTTTAAAACATTGAAAACAATTTAGAAATCACAAGAGAATGACAATTATGAATAATATTTGATATAATACCAGGTATACAAAACATGTATTTCAGGAACATGTCGTCTGACCTTAGAACAATAATGAAGTCATTAAAAGAACAATTTATATCTGTGTATTTACATAGGAACTGGAAAGACAAACTGTACATAAAAGATCACACTTGTATATTTGTAATCCCATTATCTTTAATTCTTTCATTCTCTCCAGTAACAACTTGATCATTCTAACTTGTCTAAATAAATTTACATGTGTCCAGCTGATACTGTCAAATGGTGTTCAGATTGCATTATTTGGTCTTAAACAAATGTATGAACCCCCTGCTGGAAAAATAATTTCATAGGATTATAAATGATAAACTGTCTATATGAAAAGAATTTTATTGATTGTAATTCCTTTCGCATGAACAAAAAGTGAAAAATTACTTGGTGACATGTTTAAAGGTCTCCCAAAGTTGATAGCAAATATGAGGTATACCATTTGTAAGACCATTTGGAATTCAGTGGCACTCTGTTTGGATGTGTCTTATGATAAAATTTTTATGGCTTTAGAACTTGGCATTTGGTTAGGTTGACTTTGTGAATAAGTGTGGATGATATGATTGTTTGATTCTATCTTTTGTTACGGGATCACTGGTGATGAGGTGTTAAATTTGATCTATCGTGTTTTAAATGTTTACATCTGATGTTCTGTAAGGTGATAAGCAGATAGGCTTGACTAAATGACTATCGAGCTATTATTGGGCATTCAATTAATAGCTGTGGGAAATTAAGGTGCTACAAACTTGTGCAAATTTAGTTAAGTCTTTGGAAGTTTTCCATAAAGATGTGAAAAGGAAGTGCATTATTTTTCATGCTGAGTTACTCATCAGTACTAATTATCCAGGGAACCTTCTGGCTACATATTGTAATACATGTATTTTAATTATGGAACAAATCAATTAAAGTGAAAACCATGACTCAGTTTGAACCCATCATCAAACGGACTCCTTCGGACTTAAGGTCCATGGAGAGGGAAAAGACTTCTAACTCAGGAACTCGATTAATCACGAGTCCACACACATTATTCAAAAAAGAAGTAAGCTTTAGGAAAACTGGCACCAAAATCTGGGAATTCACCCCAGAGGTGACAAGTTACAGTTTGATAGAGGAGGAAACTAGTCTGAATCTCAAAGGTAAGCTTTCATTATCATGAATTTAGAGAATTTAAAGTAGACTTAGTCTGAGTCCACAGAAATTCTCCACAAGTTACTGATTAATTTGAGTCCATGTGGATGGTCCACTTATTTACCTAGATGCACTGATTAAAGCAGTCGGTGGACATATTCAAATGTTCATGTCCTGTAGACTGTAGTATACAGTAAAACACACTTCTAGCAAATAAGCTTTTAATGAATTCACGCTAAAAGCGAAATGATTTTCATTACCCTTGACTTTAAAATATATTGTAAACTTAATGGATATGACAAATTATGCTTATATATACATGTAATGAAGCAAAATCATCCATCCCTGGCACTTTGTTATAAGTGTGTGTTACTGTAGTTAGTCTACTGACATTACAAGAGTGTTTTATGTAAATGACTTTCACTTGGCATTCTATTTTTTTTGCAAACTTTTTTCATCTTAAAGGAGACATATTGAGTCAGTGTAAGAATTTAAAAAAAAAACTGTAAAATGATGAAAAAATGTAGATGTGTTAAATCAGTACATATTGTCTACTGCAGTAATATGACATGATAATGCCAGCAGATTTTATGAATTGAAACATTGAGGGCTCACATGTTATTTCACCTATTTATTCTGTACATCTAAGTGATATAGTAATGTCGATATGCATTTTGTCGATAAATGCATTTCGTGCATCAAGCTGTTTGAAGATGATCAAAGTACTTAGTGCTGAAATATTATGAAAAAATAGTTTTCTTTTTTGTCTTAAAAAACTAATGGAAAAAGAACAATGATTGTTATGAAACTGAAGACTTGGATATTTTCACTGGATAATTTTTTTTAATTTCAATAGATTTACAGATTTATCAAATGAATTTTCAGTTGAACTTCCTGTCACAAAGAGAAGGAGATTTCTTGTATGTTTAGAGTAAATGTGTAAGTAAAGGAGTTATATCAGGTCATGGTTGGTCTTTTTAAACAGATAAGTTGGGATTATTACCTAGTTTTCTGCCCCTGTGTATAAACAAGCATATCTTTGTTTCTGGAATCTGAAGTGAAAGAGAGGAGTCCTCTCTTTCACTTCAGATTCAAGAAACAAAGATAATGTATGCTTGTTTATATGTCCTCTGAGGACACTACTCAATGAGAAATTATTTCTGATTCACCATCAAGGTATATAATACAGTAAATCACCAGATTTTTACAACACCTTATTTGAGCTCCATAGTAATTTGGTATTTATAAGTGAGACAAATTTTCACGAATGCTGGCTACTGTTGTATACAATCTTTAATGATAAAAATGTTTGCTAGAATGATATTTATGCAAACAGACAGTTTCACATTATTATGCAAAATAAAGTTCTCATTTGAAGTATGAGACTAAGTGCTGTACAATCACTTATTTTGAGGGATCCAGTTTTCATGGTTTTAGGACAAAACTTGGTTTATTGAGATTTAATTTTGTATTTGGTAGACACACTTTATACTTAAGTTATTATTTCGTGGAGGACATGAATTTGGGGGTCTCTTCAAATCATGAAAAAATGAAAATTAATACCCACACAAAAATGAGTGATTTTACAGTAAAATGCTTTTGCTAATCATATGATTGACTTTTCCTGGTGAAGATTTGAAATGTATGTCTATGTGTATATTAGAATGACTCCTAGTGATTCTCTCAATTCTATAATAATTCAGTCATTCACCAGCACACAAAGTGTTGTCTCATTCTGACACAGTTATTAATCAGATAACTCATTAATTGTGGTCTAAATTAGTAAAGGTCAGTTAATCAACCAGAGGTTAATCAGTCAGCTGATTTAGCAAATTTACACATTTAAGATGGGGTTTTGTCGATTCATTGTAGTGATATCCCAATATGAGTACTTCCAGTATAAGAGTGTGCAATTGAATTGTTTCCATTACCATTCAAATGTTTACCTGATGATACTAGGTGACATGTTGTCATAACATGAGTGTTATTGTCTTACAGTCAGGCAATCTTTTGTGTTATTTAAAGTCGTAACAAAGACGATAAACCGAAGCATTTTCAGTAAATTCTCTAGGTGTCTATTGCAAAAGAAATTTTAATTGACTTTCTTTACTCATGTTTTATTCAATCACTTTGTAAGTTTTCAACTATACAGATATTAATCTCCTTATGTATATATTGTCAGAAAATAGTTCACTAATTTTGACCCTAATTCACTTGTATGATTTTATAATTAAACTGGTTGCACTCTCAATTTTTCTAAACAAAGTTATTGAGTTACAGTACACACTGGAGTGACAAATAAAAATTTTCAGTGTAAATGATAACTGAATTAATAAATCTGATATTTGAAACTTTCATATAAATTATGTATGTCCACATACATATGGCTGTATGGCTCATAGCTTAAAACAATTCTGAAAGGGAAAACTGAAATTTAAATTGATAATCTTTTTATTTTTATGATAATTCTATTGTTGTATTGATTGAGGGGGTAGTTAGATTTGAAATTTGTCTCCTGCAGAGAGCACTTGCATTTTAAAAAAATTAATTATATCTGTAATGCCAAAATATTTTCTGTGCTTGACACTTTAATTTGTTTTATGCATGAAGATTAGTAAGATTTTTAGGCTTAAATGTTTATCATTTAGCAATAAAAAGAATTTTTTTTTCACAAATAAACCTTTTGGAACTAAGTCTAAAACTGCAATAAATTCTTATAAATGGATTAAAATACTTCAAATAAATCAGAGAAATATATACCCATTCGCTGATGCACTTTAAACTCTTTGAAACAGTGATCTGTGATTAAATTTGGCAATTTGTAATGTCCCCCAATTGATTTACAAAGGAGACCATTATCAAGTTTATTGGATTTGAAGTGATAACATCAAAAGAAGACAGTAATACAAAAGTAGGGTTATGAACACACAGTGATCTTCAATGCATTTAATTCACTAAACTGACACTATATGCATGGATCTTTTCTTTCAATGGGGTATTTAATAAAATGGATTTAAATCAATTTGATGGATTTTAAACTGGTAACTTTATATCATGAATGAATTTCAAGCATATGCTTCATGGAAATTTTTGAATCAATTAAGGACTACAATGGAATCTAGTTTCTTTACTCTACTTATTTTTGGATGATTTGATCTGTACATCATATCTTGTGTTATTAAGTAGCAAATGGAGGGCATTTAATCTCATTCATCTACTATAAAATCAAGTCTGATTCTGAGGAATGTTTTTAAATGTGTGAGCATAATTAGCTAAAAAGGGAAGTGCCAGTAATGGGAACTAACTCTTGTGAACATTTGAGCATTAAAGGGAGTTAACTGGTAAAATTGTTAGTTGATAAGTGAGATGTCTACTGGAAAATTTGTCAGAGTTCCAGATATTTCCTCTCATGAAATCATTTTAAAACAATCTGCACAACAGCAAAATGACAATGGTAAGGCTAACCTTCTTGTTTAGAATCAAATTTAGGGAAAATGGGCAGTGGTACAGTATTTGCATTATATCTAATGGTAGATTGATTAATTTGCCAGGGATTTGAAGTTTTAGCTTAATCATGTTATCTAGAATAAAGACCTTTGTGTGTGTGTTTTTGCTTTTGCTAATGTTCCAGTATTAATAAATTAATTTTTTTTTGTTTTTAAAGAGCAAGTTCTCTCCCCGCCTTTGCAGAAGCCTATTTCACCAGGTATGTTGATTTTTATAGTTGCATAACACTGTATAAATGACAGGTTAATTTAAGTAAAATTTACAAGTAAAGTATTGTCGAAGATTTGATGTGTATCTAAAAGAAGTAATGTAATTTATTTCTAGGAAGTTTTAACATAATAAGATGTGAAACCTTTATAGTTCTGCTGATATTGGTATAAATTTATTATCTGAATTAATTTAAATTTGTTTTATAGCTAGAAATTATTTTACAGAAAAGCATTATGATGTGTATGCATAGCCATTATAATTAATTTCATTTTTATTTAAATTTTAGTATATTGCTTTCACTATTAGTATATCAATTTTAAGACTTCTTTTGTTAAAGTAAAACAGAAGTTTCATAGGCATGAATCCTTTGTAGTTATGCAAATTATATTAATCAGAAGTTACATGTACATTGTAGAAGGCCCCTGCACATAAATATTCTTGTGGTCTTAATTGGCTAATTAATGTACATATATCAAACATACAAAAATTGCGTAGAAATACATGTACAAAGATCTCCTATTTTCTTCCTAATTGTGTATTTTCTCAGTACATGTACATGTATATATGTAGATATATTTAGACTTAGCTTTTTATGAAAGTAGGGCTGGGACGATATATCGAGATATCGATAATATCGATTCAATGTCAGGATGATACGCATATCAATACATATGAAGAAATATCGAAATATCGCAAAAAAAAATTCTGACTTATGTTTTTCTTTGTTTACCTCACAGTTTGGGTTAAATATGTAATATAAATAAGCAAAATATAAATATAATTATGAAATACAATGTACATAATAATAAACACCACTTGTGTAAAATAATTTTGTTTTACAACAGATATACAATTTCTTTGAATATATTATTCTTATTTTTGAAGAAATGTTTTGTTCATTTCAATACAAAAAAAAACAAACTAAATCAACATATCATGATACATATCGTATCGTGGCTCAAATATCGTGATACGTATCGATATAGAAAATGTTGTATCGTCCCAGCCCTATATGAAAGTATAACAAGATATGCACAGTACAAATAATAGTAAGATTAATATTAATAAAACTTCTTATATTATTCTTATATACACAAGTACATTGCTTTTACTTATAATTATGGCACAATGCATTTTCATGTAACATGTACTGGTGTCTTTGAACTACTCTGTACCACTCAGTTAAATTGGACACAGTTTATTTATGATAAGGACACATGCACTGCTTGGTAGTGGACTAGTTAATCTGCTTCTTTTTTTCTGGTGGATGGTAGTTGATGAAGGTACTTTGCCTTCATTAGCCACACCCATTGTAGAACAACCAAAAAAAGAGCGTCCAAAGAAAACAAGGAAGGAAGTTCCCAAGAAACCCCCATCTCCTGTCAGGGTGGGTAACTTCTTCAGAAAAAATATTACAGGCTTTGTCAAGCTTCATTGTTGTCTTATTTTTTCTAAACATCCAAAACCTTTGTACACATTTTAGGATTATGTACTAATTGATTGTTCAGATTATTTAAAAAAGAATATCTGCAAACATAACCAAAATTAAAATTTTGAAATTTAAGAAAGTGTTTGTATTTCTGCAGAGCATCACTCCCAAGTCTCCAGAACCTGTGGTTGAGGAGGTCCAGGTCACCCTTAAATCTAGAGAACCCACCCCCGAACATGTACCCACTCCCACCCCAAAGATTACAGACCTACCCCCAGTGGACATACCACCCCTCCCTGAGATTACGGAGGAGAAAAAGGTATAAATAGTTCTAATATGACAGTTGTGTTAGAATAACAATAGAAATAGTTCAAAAATATAACAAAAGTATATTGGCAACTGTGTTATTGGAAAACTCTACAGAGGCAATGTGTTTTAGTGTATGGCATATTAAACCACATGTATTTTATAGGATGCTTTACTTTTAATGGAAAAAGTACTTTAGATATTGTTATTACACAGTTGGCATGAAGACACCAGTCAGATTAGGTTGCTCTCTGTCTGTCTCTCTTCTTTCTCACTCTTATATGTTGACTACCACTTTTTTCCTTGTTCTTCAGGAGAAGAAACCTAAAGTTGACAACCGGAAACCCTTTGAGCCTATCCAGGTTATGCCCAAAATTAAAGATGCCATTCCTCCTCCCCCAAAGAAAAGCAAACCTCCAACTATCACAAAGTAAGTCCCAGTCATTTAGGAAAGTACATTATTTCATCAAAAATGTTTCTTTTTTTCTGTACCTTTTATTTTTTGCAGGGATAGTTAACCTTATTTTAAGGACATATGCAACATAGTTTGAACTTTATTGTCTTTTTCCCTGGATTTGAAGAGTTCCAATACTTAAAGGAACTGTGTGCTACATTTTAATGTCTATATATGCTATTGTACACTTCTTCTAAAAAAAGTTTGGATAAACAAAACATCTAGAATATATGTTTAGTAATTTTTGTATATTTTTCTTTGAATTATACAAGAATTTCCATCAATTGATATCTTTTCAAAACCCCAGGTAACACATGCTGATTTTTTGTCTACGAACATCTGATGGCACTATAATCGTAAATTAAGAATATCTCGAAAAATTATCAGTAGGTAAGGTACGTTGCGTATGTCCTTTAGAGTTAGAAATTAATGACCCATCCTGTTTGAAGTTGGGCACATTGTATTTGTATTAAACTTGAAACTTAAGAAATCTCATCATGTTTAATTTCTACCATTTCTGGAGTTTTCAGGGTTCATACTTTCATGCCCTGTTCACAAATTTGTTTTGTTTTTTACGAAATTTGAGATTGATTACTGTTTCTTATCTTCACCTTTTTCATAATTTGCGATTTTTTTTTTAATATATCTTACATTTGAGAATTATTTCTGCAATATTAGCATCTCTTTCAAAAATATTCATGGATATAAATTATCTGCTCCATAAAGGGATTTTAGACCTGTAAAATTCTTTCTCAAACATTTAGTACCAACTAATCTCAAAATGTAATGCTTTACTTATACAGCACTCACTATTGTTATGTTCTACATGCTGTCTTCTATATTCATACCCTTATACTCCTTTGAAATACTAACATAGGAAATCACTACCAAAGAAGAGAGTGCCATCTGCAGAAGCACCTGTCACAACAGAGGAAATTCGGCAGATGAAGGATCCCCTAGACTTCCTGGCAAAATACTGCATCATTAGGTAAAAATAAACTTCAAGGAAATTCATCCCAAACCAAAAAAAAAAAAGAATTAAAAATCATCATAAAATACCACCATAGTTACCAGTTATTATCTTAAGTCAAAGATGCATCTTGTGTTGATTGACTTGCTCATTATTCAGACAAGATGGAGAAGACTATGCATCCCATATGTTGAATGTAAGAAACCTTTGTCAATTTTTTATGTATAAAATTTTTCTTCCCTAACAGCAAGGATCGACTGCCTTACTATGAGAGAATCTACAAAAACATTGTGTCTAGTCAACCTGAGAGGTATGAGCGGGCCCACCCTCTCTCCCCCACCACGGGGATGCCAGTCACAGAAGGAACCAGCTGGGGGAACCACGAACTGAACATGTTCCATGACCTTGTACTGATTAGTCGAGGTCAGGACCCTCCGCGACCTGTAAGTAAAGGTCAAAGTTAGCCAATCATATTGATATAATACAGTGTAGGAACATGGACATATTTTTGTTGTTGTTGTAGGCACTGAGTGAACCGGAGCAGTATTTGGAGAAGATCTGCTATACTCTGGAGATGTTGGATGGCAAACATAGACAACTGGCAGAGGATCTTAACCTTCTGGAATGTAAGAATATGGGAATATTAGTCTTAACTAAACAACTAGGAAAGTTTTTGAATACATAGATTTGATAAATATTGTATATTGGTATATTCCTGAGATGTATTGATTTTTTTTTAATTTTAACTTGTTCACTTGAAAATTTTTTTTTCATACTTGCAGCAAAAAGAATTCAACAATTAGCTGAGAGGGCACGAAAACTAGTACCAGACATCACCTCTGTCCATTTCAAGAAGAAAGAGAAAAAAAGCAAAAAGAAAAAGGTACCAACTCCAGTACATGTATTAAATTGTCTAAATTAGCATGATTTTCTGCCCTTTTTGTGAGTCCTGGTTATAAATACAGTAAAACTCATTTAGTATGAACATGAATAAAGCAAAGTTCAAGAATATAGCGAAGTATTTGGGGATCCCCAGTAAAATTCTGAACAATTCCTCGTAAAATTTTACAGTATAATGAGGAACTCAGCTGATTTATTTAAATTACAGATATAATGAATTGATTTTATGTCCCATAGAGGGTGAAAATAATGACATTTACATCTTTTATTACAAATTTTTATTGATGGAAAAATGTGAAATATGATACTGACTCTATTTTTTGTTTTCATAAGTATTTTTCATCAAAAAACCTTCACCAAGGTTTAAAGTTTTGTATTTAATATTCCCTTGAACATATTCAGTAGTCATACTAAATCCAAAAAAATGTACATGTATATTTAAGAAATAAGGTATCATTTTTAAACATCTATCGAGATATAAATACGGGTTGGTCACGAGATCAAATTCCATAAAGCCCGAAGGGCTTTATGGTAAATTTGAGCTCGTACCAACCCGTATTTATATCCCGATAGATGTTTAAAAATGATACCTTATTACTTATATTTACATTTGTGACTTATTCATATCATATATTAGCCTGATTATAACCTTTAACGCGTGAAATGTTTTATTTTTTCAAACTCAACGGCACAAGTTTGATCTATTGATTGCTCGTCGACCCTTTATGACGTCACTGAGAAATTACGTCGAACGTTTATGACGCGAGGAACCCGTGTTTATACGGATATAGATACGCGTTGCTTTTAATAGTGTTATATAAAAGAAAACATTTGCAAATGTAAATATTGTAAATTGGCTAAATATACTCAAAGGAGTTCTATATATGGATTTAACGAAGTATGGATATAGCAAATTCACAGGTCCCTAGAACTTTGCTATAACTGAGTTTTATTGTAGAGCTTTACACATCCTGCTGTATGATAAATTTGACCCCACATTTGCTATTTTTAGAAAAAGAAGAACAAGGTAGAACAGGAGGAAGTTCCAGCCAAGGTCATTTTGTCCCGAGCTGACATCACTGATGATGTCATTGTCAGTAGGATTGAGGACAAATTGCTCAAAAAGGTTGGTATCAGTAAATTTTAATGATATACAGTGGACCTTCAGATATCCGGACACTTCAGTTTCCGGACGATTTTTCATGGAAATGAAATTTTTTAACGTTATTTTGTCTCATTTTTACGTTATATTTTGGTTCATTTATCCGGACGATAATTTTTTAACTTGTCTGTCAAGTCTGCTCAAACTTTTTGATTTGGGTGTGAATTGTTGTAAAAACACTGGTCTGGCTATTTGTTTTAAAAGATGATCCCCTGCGACCTGTTATCAATGGCTTGCGGCAAGGCTAATTGTATGTCAATAGGTACGCACGAGATTCTCGCTTCTCTAACATGGTTTAGATATGTATTAATTAAGGGAAATAATTTTATAAGTCTAGGATAATTTTGTCATAGTCGGTAAATATATTTCTTTCACTGTTAGAATACAGTCGTAACATGGTTTTATGTATTTATAGACATGACATCGGAGTTTTTTTATGCACAGTATTTTGTGCGCAAAATGCATTCTATGATTTGATAAATTTATAAAATATCTTTTTTTTATTTATTTAAACAAGTATTGATAAGTACTAACTTATATTAAAGTATTTAAACAATATAACATATTTGATACAAAGCAACATTCTTTACTATTGCCAATGGTATGAAAGGCCATATATCTAAAATCAAGGCAATTCAGGTATCCGGACGCTTCACATATCCAGACAAATTGACTGGGAACCAAAGCGTCCGGATAAATGAGGCTCCACTGTACTTGTTTGTCCTCTTAAGTGCCTTTATAAGCTAGTGTGTAGTACTACCAGATATTTACAGTATTGCGTGTTTATACTATTTGAGACAAATGTTAACCCATGTACTGTAAACCAACTATTATTTATGAAAACATTTATTCGCAATGTGTCAGTTTTAAATCTATCCGCAACTATTAAGAAACATTCAACGTAAATACCCAATGAAGTAATAGGTTTGCTGTGAGAAATAATTGCATGTAAAAGAAAGTCACAAAACTTGTGGAAATTTCCCACATGTGAATAAAAGTTGGGTTACAGTATATGATACAGTAAGTAAAGATATGATTATCTTCTTTATTTGAAGACTTCAGAAAAAAATCAGAACTTTTTTGTTCAAAATGATACAATAATGATAAAGTGATTAATCAATGTAATGCAAAGGAAAAAAAGTTCTTTTCTTTGTCAAAGTTGTTGATGTATAGGTATTTTTGCCTTCTATGTAAGCTTATGAAGGAACCTGCTCAACACCAGCTAAACTGTGAGATAGAGAGATGTACAGAAAAACTAGCCAATATTGAAGACAGATTGATACAACTAGAAGGTAAGGGCAGTAACTCTGTTTACTTTGAATGTGTACAATGTACTTGGAGACTCTTTATGTTAGTATAGTATCTCAAAGATATTATTATGATGTCTTCTATCCTTATGGTGTGAAGTTTAACAATAAGAATGAATTAGTGTTTTGTTACATTTTTAGCTCACCTGAGCTGAAAGCTCAAGTGAGCTTTTCTGATCACCCGTTGTCCGTCGTCCGTCTGTCCGTCCGTCTGTAAACTTTTCACATTTTTTACTTCTTCTCAAGAACCACTGGGCCAATTTAAACCAAACTTGGTACAAAGCATCCTTGGGTGAAGGGGAGTTTAAATTGTTAAATTGAAGGGCCAAGTCCCCTTCAAAGGGGAGATAATCAAGAAAATACAAAAATTGGGTGGGGTCATTAAAAAATCTTCTTCTCAAGAACCACTGGGCCAGGAAAGCTGAAACTTATGTGGAAGCATCCTGGGGTAGTGTAGATTCTAAATTGTTCAAATCATGACCCCAAGGGGTAGGGCAGGGCCACAATAGGGAATCGAAGTTTTACATAGAAATATGTAGTAAAAATATTTAAAAATCTTCTTCTCAAGAACTACTGGGCCAGAAAGGCTGAAACTTATGTGGAAGCATCTTGGGGTAGTGTAGATTCTAAATTGTTCAAATCATGACCCCAAGGGGTAGGGCAGGGCCACAATAGGGAATCGAAGTTTTACATAGAAATATGTAGTAAAAATATTTAAAAATCTTCTTCTCAAGAACTACTGGGCCAGAAAGGCTGAAACTTATGTGGAAGCATCTTGGGGTAGTGTAGATTCTAAATTGTTCAAATCATGACCCCAAGGGGTAGGGCAGGGCCACAATAGGGAATCGAAGTTTTACATAGAAATATGTAGTAAAAATATTTAAAAATCTTCTTCTCAAGAACTACTGGGCCAGAAAGGCTGAAACTTATGTGGAAGCATCTTGGGGTAGTGTAGATTGTAAATTGTTCAAATCATGACCCCAGGGGGTAGGGCAGGGCCACAATAGGGAATCCAAGTTTTACATAGAAATATGTAGTAAAAATCTTTAAAATCTTCTTCTCAAGAACCACTGGTCCAGAAAAGCTGAAACTTATTTGGAAGCATCCTTGGATAGTGTAGATTGTAAATTGTTCAAATCATGCCCCCCCCCCCCCCCCCCCCCCCCCCCGGGGGTAGGGCAGGGCCACAATAGGGAATTCAAGTTTTACATTGAAATATATAGTGAAAATCTTTAAAAATCTTCTTCTCAAGAACCACTGAGCCAGAAAAGCTGAAACTTATTTGAAAGCATCCTTGGGTAGTGTAGATTGTAAATTGTTCAAATCATGACCCCCGGGGGTTGGTGGGGCCACAATAGGGAATCCAAGTTTTACATTGAAATATGTAGTAAAAATATTTAAAAATCTTCTTCTCAAGAACCACTAGGCCAGAGAAACTGAAACTTATGTGGAAGCATCCTAGGGTAGTGTAGATTCTAAATTGTTCAAATCATGACCCCAGGGGGTAGGGCAGGGCCACAATGGGGAATCGAAGTTTTACATAGAAATATGTAGTAAAAATATTTAAAAATCTTCTTCTCAAGAACTACTGGGCCAGAAAGGCTGAAACTTATGTGGAAGCATCTTGGGGTAGTGTAGATTCTAAATTGTTCAAATCATGACCCCAAGGGGTAGGGCAGGGCCACAATAGGGAATCGAAGTTTTACATAGAAATATGTAGTAAAAATATTTAAAAATCTTCTTCTCAAGAACTACTGGGCCAGAAAGGCTGAAACTTATGTGGAAGCATCTTGGGGTAGTGTAGATTCTAAATTGTTCAAATCATGACCCCAGGGGGTAGGGCGGGGCCACAATAGGGAATCCAAGTTTTACATTGAAATATGTAGTAAAAATCTTTAAAATCTTCTTCTCAAGAACCACTGGTCCAGAAAAGCTGAAACTTATTTGGAAGCATCCTTGGATAGTGTAGATTGTAAATTGTTCAAATCATGCCCCCCCCCGGGGGTAGGGCAGGGCCACAATAGGGAATTCAAGTTTTACATTGAAATATATAGTGAAAATCTTTAAAAATCTTCTTCTCAAGAACCACTGAGCCAGAAAAGCTGAAACTTATTTGAAAGCATCCTTGGGTAGTGTAGATTGTAAATTGTTCAAATCATGACCCCCGGGGGTTGGTGGGGCCACAATAGGGAATCCAAGTTTTACATTGAAATATGTAGTAAAAATATTTAAAAATCTTCTTCTCAAGAACCACTGGGCCAGAGAAACTGAAACTTATGTGGAAGCATCCTAGGGTAGTGTAGATTCTAAATTGTTCAAATCATGACCCCAGGGGGTAGGGCAGGGCCACAATGGGGAATCGAAGTTTTACATAGAAATATGTAGTAAAAATATTTAAAAATCTTCTTCTCAAGAACTACTGGGCCAGAAAGGCTGAAACTTATGTGGAAGCATCTTGGGGTAGTGTAGATTCTAAATTGTTCAAATCATGACCCCAAGGGGTAGGGCAGGGCCACAATAGGGAATCGAAGTTTTACATAGAAATATGTAGTAAAAATATTTAAAAATCTTCTTCTCAAGAACTACTGGGCCAGAAAGGCTGAAACTTATGTGGAAGCATCTTGGGGTAGTGTAGATTCTAAATTGTTCAAATCATGACCCCAGGGGGTAGGGCGGGGCCACAATAGGGAATCCAAGTTTTACATTGAAATATGTAGTAAAAATCTTTAAAATCTTCTTCTCAAGAACCACTGGTCCAGAAAAGCTGAAACTTATTTGGAAGCATCCTTGGATAGTGTAGATTGTAAATTGTTCAAATCATGCCCCCCCCCCGGGGGTAGGGCAGGGCCACAATAGGGAATTCAAGTTTTACATTGAAATATATAGTGAAAATCTTTAAAAATCTTCTTCTCAAGAACCACTGAGCCAGAAAAGCTGAAACTTATTTGAAAGCATCCTTGGGTAGTGTAGATTGTAAATTGTTCAAATCATGACCCCCAGGGGTTGGTGGGGCCACAATAGGGAATCCAAGTTTTACATTGAAATATGTAGTAAAAATATTTAAAAATCTTCTTCTCATGAACCACTGGGCCAGAGAAACTGAAACTTATGTGGAAGCATCCTAGGGTAGTGTAGATTCTAAATTGTTCAAATCATGACCCCAGGGGGTAGGGCAGGGCCACAATGGGGAATCCAAGTTTTACATTGAAATATGTAGTAAAAATCTTTAAAAATCCTCTTCTCAAGAACTACTGGGCCAGAAAAGCTGAAACTTATGTGGAAGCATCTTGGGTAGTGTAGATTCTAAATTGTTCAAATCATGACCCCTGGAGGTAGGACAGGGCCACAATAGGGAATCCAAGTTTTACATTGAAATATGTAGTAAAAATCTTTAAAAATCTTCTTCTCAAGAACCAGTGGTCCAGAAAAGCTGAAACTTATTTGGAAGCATCCTTGGATAGTGTAGATTTTAAATTGTTCAAATCATGACCCCTGGAGGTAGGGCAGGGCCACAATAGGGAATCCAAGTTTTACATTGAAATATGTAGTAAAAATCTTCTTCTCAAGATCCACTGGGCCAGAAAAGCTGAAACTAATGTGGAAACATTCTTGGGTAGTGTAGATTGTAAATTGTTCAAATCATGACCCTTGGGGGTAGGGCAGGACCACAATTAGTACTACGGGGGGGGGGGGGGGGATCAGGTGAAAAACAGCAAGGCCAAAGTTACTCAGGTGAGCGCTGTGGCCCATGGGCCTATTGTTGTATTTTGTCCTTTTGGGGGGTTTTGTTTGTTTGGGTTTTTTTTTTGGTGTGTGTGTGAGTTTTTTTTTTTTTTTTTTTTTTTTTTTTTTTTTTTTTTGTGTGTGTGTTTTTGTCGTATTATCAATGTCTGAACATTTTTGCAGGTGAGAAGAATATCATAGGAATGTACTGCATGGAGCTGTTCTTTGAGGCTCAGAATGACAATAATAAACCCCGAGAATTCAGAAGACAACAGAGTTTTCTGTATAAAACGCTCCACCCCGACCCAGTAAGTGTACAGCTCATACTCCAATACAGTAAAACACGCTTATAGTGAACACGCTTATTATGAATTGACGCTTACAGTGAAATGATTTCCATTCCCTGTGGTTTAAAAATATACTGTGAACTTAATGGATATAATGAATTAGGTTTATAATGAATCAAAATCATCCGTTCCTGGCTCTTCATTATAAGTGTGTTTTACTCTAGTAGAAATGAGACTGTGATAGATGACAGCTGGGACCTTTTTATACCTTGCAATGGAAGTGTATACATATATGTTCTAAAGCTGGAGACACACTGTAATTAATCCAGTTCACTGTAGGATTTCTCCTTTAAAATTTTGTTGACTTAATCTTGTAGGATGTAGAAATGAATAAAGAAGAACTAGAGGGAGCTTTGCAGATTGTTAATCACAACTTGTTGTCACAGAATGAATTTAGTTATCTGTACCATGTGAGTATGGGTCTATATACCACTGTGTATTCTTTAGTATTTATCATATTACCTTCTACAAACAAAGTGGGGTGGGGGGGGGGGGATACTGTAAAACACATTTTAATTGTGAGAAATTTATTTTTGCATCTTTACATAAGACCCTCTGCTCACAAAAATTTTATTCTATTTTTATTTTGTTATCAAAGATTATATAAAACACTAACTGAAATTTGCAAAATTATGTCTTAATAATATATACTAAATAAATTTCTTGCGGAAATAAAGTGTCATGAAAAATTGGTGCTCTACAGTACTGGAATTACTTTGATCTGTCCATAGATATTTTTGGCCAGAGATCATCTCAAAAACTACTTAAAATTTTTGTTTAAAATTTGTGGGTATGTAACTACTATCTACTGTGGTCATTTGGATAAGATCAACTTCACTTGAAGTTAAAATTTTGTTTAAAAAATGAATTATGTAATGGGATAACTTTAGAAGATCATGCTTGCCTACAGGGTTGATTATGATCATAGAATTTGTAAAGACCGTGAACAAAAGTCATTTAGACTTCAAGGTCAGAGAGATCCAAAGGGCCAAATTTTGAAGGCTTTGAATATGGAGGTCATACTTGGCACAAAGGTTGCTTGTGATGAAGAGGTCTGTCATGATAGTCATTTGTATACATCAAGTTTACGTGACAGTGAAGTTAAAACTTCACTCTGCTAGGAATGTGGATGGTCATATTGTACATATTAACACAGAGGTTTCTTATGACCAGTTATTACAACCCTCAACCAGTTACATTTCAGAATGACACAGGTCATTGCAATTTGCAGTACACTGTAAATTTTTTTTTACAAAGAAAGTAGAGTTCTCTATCAAAATATACTCTTTCTTTATGTGGCCTATGAGGGATATTAATCCGATTAGGACAGTTTTAACAATATTAATGTGAAAAAAGCATATGATTATAACTGATTTGTAGAGACTTGTGAAATTTTAAACATTTTTAATGGTAAATGTACTTTTTTCTTTAGATATTAAATTTGACAGGAAGGAGGAAGATCAACTTTAAGTTGTTCTGTGTTATAGCAGCTTTATCAGAGCGGATCACACACATGGAGTAAGTGTTCATAGCGGTAATATACACAGACACTGGAGGTGTTCTCAGTGACCTGGTGATGTGAACATTAATTTTAGTCAAGTATAGACATCCTCATCTTAGAATCCTAGTCATGACATAGACACAGTTTGTACCCTACTTGTATCTTTCCATGAAGTATTTTTTTGAAATTGAAATATTTATTTAAAATGAAGAGTGACCTAGATATAAATTTCATATTTTTGTCCCCGCTTTCGCAAAAGCGAGGGGACAATAAATCCCATTCATCTGTCAGTCTGTCTGTTTATCTGTCACAAAACTTTAACCTTGGTCATAACTTTTGAACGAGAAGAGATGAGGCTTTCATCTTTCACCTGTACATTACCTATGACAAGACCTTCCCAAACAGACTATGATTTTTGATGCTGTGACCTTGATCTTGAAGTTTGACCTACTTTTCAAATAATTTAACAAACTTTTACCTTGGATATAACTTTCGAATGAGAAGAGATAGAGCTTTCATATTTCACATGTAATTACCTCAGATAAGGCCTTTCGAAACATACTACGATTTTTGACCTAGTGACCTTGACCTTGAAGTTTGGCCTACTTTTCAAAACTTTTAAGAAACTTTAACCTTTGTCATAACTTTCAAATGGGACAAGATAGGGCTTTCATATTTCACGTGTACATTACCTGTGAAAGACTTTTCCAAATAGACTATGAATTTTAACCCCATGACCTTGAAGCCTGACCCACTTTTCAAAAATGTTAACATTAGTTATAACTTTTGAATGAGAAAAGATTGGGCTTTCATATTTGACATGTGCATTACCTATGACAAGAAGTCTCCAAACATGCTATGATTTTTGATCCTGTGACCTTGACTTTCAAGTTTGACCAAATTTTCAAAAATTTTAACATTGGTGATAACTCCTGAATGAGAGATGATAGAGTGTTCCTTTTAGACAAGTGCATTACCTGCGTCAAAAAGTTTCCAAATATGATTTGATATTTGACCTCATTTCCTTGACCTTGAAGTTTGACCTAATTAAAAAAAAATTAAATTGGTGATTACTTTTGAATGAAAGATGATAGGGTGTTCATCTTTGACAAGTGCGTTACCTGTGTCAAAATTTTTCCAAGTGTGCTATGATATTAGACCCATGACCTTGACCATTTGATCTAATTTTCAAACATTTTATCATTGCTGCTAACTTTTGAAGGAGCAAAGATAGTGCATTCATATTTGACACATGCATTACCTGTGACAAGCATTTCCAAATGTACAATGATTTTCAACCCCAAGACCTTGACCTTGAAGTTTGACTTATTTTTCAAAAATTTGAACATTGCTGATAACTTTTGATTGAGAGAAGATTAGGGCATTTACGTTTGACATGTGCATTACCTGTTTCAAGACTCTTCTGAATCTACTCTAGTTTTTGACTTTGTGACCTTGAAGTTTAACCTGCAGTCTTTTTCAAATTAATTTTTCATTGATAATAACTTTTGAATGAGAGAAGATAGGACTTTAAGATGTACATTACCTATGACAACACCTTTCAGAAAGATATATCATTTTTGACTTTATGACCTTGACCTAGAAGTTTGACCTAGTTATCAAAAATTTTAACTTTGGCCATAACTTTTGCTCCAAAGAGATAAGGCTTTCCTATTTTTTTCACATGTGCATTATCTGTGATATGATATCGCTCGACTCAGCGTTTGGCTGCACCAAAATTACGTAGAATGTGACATCATAATATAAGAAGATGTTTTTACCATTGTGACTTAATGACAGCCAAGTCTGTTCAGTTAGGACTGTGTTAGATTATTCACTTTGAGTGATTATATAATATAACTATAATGGACCTCAGACAGAAAGTGATAGCAACCTCACAAGCTCGGTCGCTATCACTTTCTGTGTCCTCACAAGCTCAGTCGCTATCACTCTCTGTGTCTTTGGTCAATTTCACTTGACATGGGTCCTTATAACCACATATCATCATACACTGAAGTCCATAATTGTATAATATGCCTTAAAAAAATTGCATCCTAACCACGAAGACAATGAAAGCGGGGGACCACAATTCTTTGAATTTGCTTTTTCCTGCTTGAATGTCCTTGGGAAAAAAAAATCATGTCTACAGTTTTAGTTGTATAAAAAAAAAATGGAAAAAGAAGATAAAATTTGGGAATAGTTCTTTTATACAACTTGATCTATGATTTTGCAAGTGTATTAAAAGCTGTTTATATAAAGACAGATAGTGAGGATTATATAATTTATTCCTTTCTTTTACAGTCCTGTTATTAGAGAGCTCCTAAACAAAGAGAAAGGCTGGAAAAGACAGAGCAATGACTATGAATCTTTAGATGTGAGATTGAACAGGTCAAAGGTTTGTAGCTTATGATGATTTGTTTACCCTACAAATTATTTTGCAGCTTACCTGTGCTGAAGCCATGATGTTTTGGTCAAAAATCTTTGCTTTTCCTAATTCACGTTTTTTACCATGATATGTCACGTGAAAACAAGTAACATTCTGTATTTAAGTTGTTGTTACTAAAAATATATAGCTAGTGTGATTTAGTTGTCTTATTTGGTTCAAACATTAGCCCAGTGCAAGTGTCCTTATAAGTTTTACTTTCAAGGAAGTGTTCGAACCGTTTAAGCCTATTCCCTTCTTTTGTTTTGACTGTTTATTTGAGTACATGTATTACATGTACTCTTCACTTCTTAAATGTAAGTTAGGTACAACTGTGTATAGTTTTGGAGAATGATTAATATTAGTTTAATAGAGCATTGCAGCTATGAGCCTTGTCTATATCAGAATTGCTACAGTACAGCACCTTAATATTACGTCAAAAATAATAATTTTAATTATAGGAGGTAAAATTATTTTGACACATTTGATTTTGGGGTTTAGGAGCTGTTTCAGCTACTGGATGAGGGGGATTCAGTTCCTTTTGGAAATGCCCTGGCCTCAAGTCTGGCAGTGGAGCTCACCGCAGGGGGTCTGTCACCTGAACTGACCAGTTATGTAAGCATTAAAGAAATATATATATATAATATTCTCCAGAAACTTGTAATTGGAGCATAAAATCACACTATAGGGATAGAAATTAAATATTCTGACTGCATATTGAACTTAGAAACTTCCCAATAAATGATATGTGCATTTCATGTTGTACACCAGAGTATTATTTATTCCATCTCTTTTCACACCTTTAGGTTATAGAGTGTTATTTATTCCATCTCTTTTTACATCTTTAGGTTATAGAGTGTTATTTATTCCATCTCTTTTCACATCTTTAGGTTATAGAGTGTTATTTATTCCATCTCTTTTCACACCTTTAGGTTATAGAGTGTTATTTAATCCATCTCTTTTCACACCTTTAGGCTATAGAGTGCTATTTATTCCATCTCTTTTTACATCTTTAGATTATAGAGTGTTATTTATTTCATCTCTTTTCACACCTTTAGGTTATAGAGTGTTGTTTATTTCATCTCTTTTCACACCTTTGGGTTATAGAGTGTTATTTATTTCAACTCTTTTCACACCTTTAGATATAGTGTTATTTATTCCATCTCTTTTCACACCTTTAGGTTATAGAGTGTTATTTATTCCATCTCTTTTTCCCACCTTTAGGTCATGGGCAAGTTCAACAGAGAGGGAAAAGGTTATGTGGATTTTCTAGACTACGTCACCTATGTTCCATTGTTTATTGAAATCCATGAGAAAATTATAAATGATCCTCTCTGTTCAACTGTGAGGATCCAATAAATCAAAATAGGAAGGAATTGACCACATATCAATGTATTAAGGAACAAAGCACTTAGAAACACTTCATACTTCAGAATTCGTTTGAAAATCTTTTTATGGGCCAGGATCTTTTATCAATGTAATAATCATTGGTAAAATGTGATTTAAAAAAATAAAACTAGTTTAATGAATTGTAGCATCTACATGAAACTAGTGTACAGTGTAATTTTTGTTAACAAAATTTGTGCAATACAAAATTTTGTGCAATCCTTATATTTTGGAACCAAATATTGATCACTTTTATAAATTATACCCTCTCCTTTAGATCAGAATTTTTTTATACCAGATGTGTCTGGTTTGAAGAATATATTTACTATCGGTGTACATTTATATTCATACCTCATTGTATGGAAAGACAGAGTATTATTATATTTATAGAAAGTTCCATAGGAATGCTTTTAACTCAAGGGCAAAAACACTGTAATTTTTTTTGTTTTAAATATTGAATTCAGTATCAATTTTAATATAAATTCAAGTATTATTACTAAGTGTATAATTATGGACTCCAAGTTACTTTTACTAAAAATAAATTGCACAAATGCAAACTACAAATAGGATTTAAACTGCTATGGGAAACAAGATGTGTTCGTGAAATTAAAAAAAAAGCTTCAAAGTACATTGCCAACAAGTTGACTTTGACCTTGTCAAATGACCTTGGTTCAGGTTAGGACATTGTCTTGTCATAAGTATCTCTAAATTTTCTCCACGAACAAAGAAGGGACTATGGAGAATTTTAGATTTCTTATGCCCTGTTCACACGGAGAGTTTAATTCAAATTAAACGTAAGTTACTGCGAATTAAATTTGATCCGTGTTCACACGGAGAATTTAATGCGAATTAGTTTAATTCGAATTAGTTTACTGCGCATTAAATTACTTCGCATTAGCTCTGTGTGAACGCTAAGTGAAGCTATTTGAATTAAATTTTGACACATGCGTAAGGACAGAATTAAATCACAGGCCACATGTCGATGGTCAAATATAGGTACTTGTGCTATTTCTGAGTGAAAAACAAAGGATAATTATGTTAATCACTATAATGTGTACAGATACTATGACATAATTATTTCAAATGTATATATCTGCTCTGCACAATATGACGTGATTTGTAAATGATGTCATAATAGCCTCACTGAATAGCCTTGTTGTAGAAATAAAATTATAATTCGCATTAGTTTACTTCGCATTAGCTGTCATTTGAACACAATTTAATTTGCATTAATTTAATTCGCATCATTTTACTTCGCATTAATTTACTGTGAATTAAACTCTCCTTGTGAACAGGGCATTAATCTCTGTGACTAGGACTTTATCCAAGTGGTCTAGGTCAAGGGTCATAAATATCATTTGGTTTGTCAATTTGGGAATTGCAAAATGTTTATATATAAGTCAGTATTCTTATGAGTGTGTGCAGGCATTTCGTGGTACACATACCGGTGGTTTTAGGATTGTATTATGATGGGTGAGATAATACTAGACAGGATGCATTTTCTGTGAACATTGATAATAGGATTTGAAAAGTTACGTTTTCTCAGAAACTCCCACTCATACTTCTTACCCATCAACAACAATTAAAACATATACTTTTGGAGCAACTGGGTTTTTTCCAAATATACTTCAGTGTAACACAACGGTAAATCTAATGTTTTTTGAAATCGTTATGATAAGCACATAGAAATTAGATAATGCAACTGTATTATTACCATATACTCAAGCTGAACAAGGGGTCTTGATGATTGCTGAATGAATATTGTGATTGTGGTATTACTTAATTAAAGCACTGTTTGTTTTAAAACAGTATGAAGATGGTGTGGGCTTATAATTGGTTATTCTTAATAGAAGCAATAATTTTTTAATTTTATGTTTACAAATATTGACTTTGCCTGTGATAGATTAGTGATTTTTTTATATCTTGTATAAATAGTACACTGCTATTAAACTGTTATCGAGCACAGCCTCAGTTTACAATGTCAGTATTAATTCATTACTGTGATAAAAGGAGTCTTCAGTCACAATCATGATTCAAATACAGTGAATTTATGCTAAATACAAGACATTCTTGTATGAATGATGAAGTTTTTTATTGATTGTAACTGATGCACTTTTCCCAGTCATATTTAGGAGAAATTATTATATGCCCTTTATCAATCAGTATTTAAAAATGTGATTTTAGGATTTGTAATACAAATTTTAAATTTTTAAGTTTTGGTGTATAATATATCTTTAAAATCTATATGCATCATTATCTATTATACATATAATAAAACACATCTTTTCTTTTCTTTGCTTTTATTTATTTTAAAACTAATCTGTGTGCAGATAATATTGTCTTTCCAAGGATTTGAAAGAACTTGTCAATATTCGAATATAATAACCAAATGTATGTAATAGGAAAGGGGAAATGCATGAAGAAAATATATGGCTGGAGTGGGAATCGAACCCGGGACCCCTGCATTACTAGTCAGGTGCTCTAACCACTGAGCTGTCCAGGCCGATATCCACGGTCCGTAAAGCCCAAACTTCTACATTCCTCCCTCCTTAAACAGTTCAAGACACAAGTTCTAGGGCCCTGCCAGGAATTACTAATTTACACATAACGTAACCTGAACATGCCCCCCCCCCCCCACTGGCCACCAAATGTAGTAGAAAGGAGAAATGCATGAAGAAAACATATAAGGCTGGGCAGGGAATTGAACCTGGGACCCCTGCATTACGAGTCAGGTGCTCTAACCACTGATGAGCTATCCAGGCCGATATCCACGGTCCGTAAAGCCCGAACTTCTACATGTAATAGAAAATACAGGTAAAAAAGACCAAATATTTCTCTAAATCTTGTCATCAAATGAACCTTCATTATTGTTATGAGGAATTTTCATTATACAATTGATTATCTCATAGGCTTTATCATCTGTAAGCTTATATACATCTGGGTCATATGTTTCACAATGTGAAGCCTAGAATCATCAAAACGTCTGTTGATGCACCATAGGAGAAGATTATGGCAACGCACCTTGTAAGAAGGTGTATGGCAACCCCAAAATAGGTCATTGTGACCTCATTTTGGAGATTAATGGCTATACATTGTTAATTGTCCCTTAAGAGTGCTTCCACCTCAATTTTTACGATTGCAAATATTTTTTTATAGTCATGAGTCTAGAATCTTCAAACGCTCTCGGTTAATGTGTAGTACTGTAGCTTCAGACATGGTGTATCATGGCTCTTTCGTAATTTATGATGACCTATTTTCCGATGGACACCATACATGTGCCCCTGCAGTGCACTTTATTATGTACAGTGTACAGATTCGTAGCAATCCTTTTAATGTTTGATAAGCATGATAAAGATTTAGTGTTAGTTAATATACCTGTAAATGCATCCCTAAAATCTCCAAAAATTAAGTTACATGTGTATAGATAATTAAAAAAAAACTGACATGATATTAAAATGAGCATACCAAATAAGTTAAAAATTGAGATAGATAAATGTATAAAACACAACATTTGGCACTCTTGTAAAAGCCGCATAACATGGCTTTTACTTTTCAAGCAATCAATATCATCAAAGAAATGACTTCCTTAATCATCTGTTTCTACAATACAGATTTTCCATCAGTGTTTGATACCAAAAAATTCTTAGACAATAACCTACTAAACGTATCAGAAATTCTTTAAATCTCCTGCCTCTGAAAAAATAACATTCACACACCCTCCTTTACCCAAATTCTTGGATCCGCTTGTGACATATACACATATACATTATAGCATTTTCTTGTGCTTAGAAAATAAGACAATCAGGATGCTTATTAAACGTTAGATGCTTAGTTAGTTTGATTTATTTTAACAATGCTTAAAGGGGCTTTGTACTACACCATCATTACTGAAGAATTAAAAAAAACCGCTTGTTTGCCTCTGTAACATGTCATAGATTATTATCTTCCCTGAAAACTGAACAGAAGGCCCATTTGATGTTATGTGCACTGATATATTTAGGCAAGGAGGAACTTCTGATTCGTTTTAGAATGAAAATGACAAGCATAAGCAATTATTAATAGTTTCTTAAGTAGGCCTAGTGTATAATTTTTTTATGCCCCCGTATCGTAGATTCGGGGGTATATAGTTTTTGCCCTGTCCGTCCGTCTGTCTGTCTGTCCGCAAAAACTTTAACTTTGCCAATAACTTTTGATTGGTTGAAACTATTGCTTTCATATTTCAAATGTGTATTCCTTGTGACAAGACCTTTCTTTGGGCACCACCATTTTTGACCTTGACCTTGGAGTTTGACCCAGTTTTGCAAAATTTTACCAAATTCTTAACCTTGGCCATAACTTTTGAACAATTGGTGCTAGGGCTTTAATACTTCACATGTGTAATCCTTGTGACAAGACCTTCCTTGGCATTCCAACAACTTTGATCCTTTTGACCTTGACCTAGGAGTTTGACCTACTTTTGAAAAGATTTAACCTTGGCCATAACTTTTGAACGGGTGGTGCTAGGGCTTTCATACTTCACATGTGTAATCCTTGTGACAAGATCTTCCTTTGAATACCAACAACTTTGACCTTTTGACCTTGACCTAGGAGTTTTACCTACTTTTGAAAAGATTTAACCTTGGCCATAACTTTTGAATGGGTGGTGCTAGGGCTTTCAAACTTCACATGTGTAATCCTTGTGACAAGACCTTCCTTTGCATACCAACAACTTTGACCTTTTGACATTGACCTAGGAGTTTGACCTATTTTTGAAAAACTTTAACCTTGGCCGTAACTTTTGAACGATAGGTGCTAAGGCTTTCATACTTCACATGTGTAATCCTTGTGACAAGATCTTTCTTTGGATACCAACAATTTTGACCCTTTGACCTTGACCTTGGAGTCTGACCTACTTTTCAAAAACTTTAACCTTGGCCCTAACTTTTGAACGGTTGGTGCTAGGGCTTTCATGATTCAAATATGTAATCCTTGTGACAAGACCTTTCTTTGGATACCAACAACTTTGATCCTTTGACCTTGACCTTGGAGTTTGACCCACTTTTGGAAAACTTAAACCTTGGTCATAAATTTTTAACGATTGGTGCTTCGGCTTTCATATTTCAACTGTGTATTTCTTGGGAGAAGGCCTTTCCTTAAGCACCATTAATTTTGACCATTTGACATTGACCTTGATGTTTGACATTGGTTAAGGTTGAATTACATATATCCTGAATTTGAATTACTTATGCTACTTAGAATGACCTGCCCTCAAATCGAAAACAAAATAGATACCTACAGTGTATTGCTCATGTAATCAATTCAAGCATAATTGATATTTTCCTAGATTCATATAAATTCATTTAACATATCAGAACTGAACTGAATTTATTAATCTCAGCACAATTTTACAGTGTAGGTATACAGAGATTTACATCATAAGCGTCGGAAGCAAATTGAAAGTGGGGGGGGGGCTAATTGAAAGAGAAAAAAATCAAACCTGAACAAAAACTTGACAAGCAAAAAAAAAAAAAAAAAAAGAAAAAAAAAGGAAAATTAAAAATTGTCCAAACCCGGAAATTTCTTCTAACAAAATCATTGTACAATAATGAAATATATCTTAGTTGAATTAAATTGATCAACAAATCATTTACCCTGAACTGTAAATTAATTCTTGCGAGCAATAGCTCAACTATATTCTTGCGTTCACGCATCGAACTAGTATATACCATTGCTCTCATCAACTGAGTTGATAAAGCTTTTTTATACAATTATCTTAGAGAAACACGATGTCTTCAATACTACCTTTACAAACCTTAATCTTACAAAAGTTAGATTATCTGATCAGAACTTATATATTGAAAGGGTAGATACACAAATACCAGTAGAAATGATAGTAAATGCACATTACTAGTATGTAATCTGAATGAAATAGAAGACGAATTCTACTTGATGTTACAGTGCCAAACAGGAAAATTAAAGGAAGAAATACATAAAGAAAAATTATCAAAATAGCAGTGTATTTAAATCAATCCAACTATTTAGTGTTCGAAATGTAAGGGAATTAAAGGGCCTTGTGTCTTGCGTGTGTCAATTCAATTAATGCTGCAATAAAATGGATTTAAATGATATCTTCCAAATAATTTACATATCTTGAATTATTTGCTTTTATGTTTATTTGACACTCCATAAATATTTACGCCTCTGTACATTAATTTTCTTCAACGTCCAAAAACATTTTTCATTAGTGTAATGTTATTAGATAATTTTTTAGTAAATATCTGATAACTTTTTCCTTCAGAATTAATCTCTCTCTCCAATCCTTCTGCACAAAATATAAATGAAGATAAAAACGTAGTGATAATTTCTTTTGGCAAATTAAAGACTTGTATGTCGGAAGTGTTTGATAGAGCAGATTAAACACTCATCTTAATGAGAACATGATTGTTCCAAGATTATCTACTGAAATACAACGTATATGAAACACCAAAATTTATATTTACACATGATTTTGTATTGAAACCTCTATGTTATATATTTAGAGAGATTCAGTGATATTTAATCACACCAGTGAAAGCTTAATCCCCTCCTTTCTGGGGTTCACCCTTTCTGGGCCACCTCTGTTTTTAAACTGTGTTCAGCATTCGTTTCTAATCAAATACTTAACACATTACTTATGGTGGCACAAAACATGATAATCACTGCAGATCTAATTCTAACGCTTTTTTTCCTTCCGAGAGCATTTCCTTGTATCTACTTGGTTCTTTTTTACCTGTGCTTGATTTTCATGCACGTGTACTTTAAACAACAATACTTGAAAAATATATTTAAGTTTGGAAGTTTTTGTTATCATTTTGTAAGCACAGTGCTCACAGTACCTCGTTTATTTATTGTGAATAATACGCTGTAAGAAATACTGTGCGAAATTAAAGAAATATTCTTGTTTGAAATAAACTCTTATAGATATTGATGTTTTGACATGTAATTAGTCATTAATAACTCCTCGGTATTGATCTTTGTAATTAGTTCTATCGATAACTCGTTAGATATCGATCTTTTAACCTGTAATTATTTATCGATAGCTCGTTGATATCGATATTTTGTTCTTATTAATTTTTTCGATAGGTCTCAGATATTAATCTTTGGACCTGTACTTAGTTTATTGATAGCTCTTAGAGATCGTTCTTTGCACTTCCTGTAATTATTAAATTAGAAAGAATGAATAACGGATTTCTTGTAATTCATTAATCAGTATAAATATAAATACATGTATTGTCGTTTACTAAATAATGATTGCAAGAAATTCAAATAATGAGAAAACGATAATTATAATTTTCATTTAACCATTATATTTTCTTTCTATTCATTATTTTGTAATATGAAAAGAAAACACATTATAACCGAACGAAACATGTATACAGCTGTACAGAAATTGCCGCATTGTAAGACACATTGTCAAGTATTTTAGTTCCGTTTAAATGTGTGGTAAAATCCTTAGACATGAAATTAGTCCTCTGAAAAGGAAGATTTAAGCATTTCCTTTACTAAAGCTACCAGTATTATATAAAACTTGTTATTGCTAAGAAATCAAGTGTAAGGGGTAAAAATGACTAGTCTGTGAATGCTTCTTGTAAATGGCCTTTTTTTACACAACATATAAAATTGATTTGCCAAAATTCTGTGTTAGACCCCCCACCCCCTTCTCCCCCAAAGCTCATTAACCATTTGTAGAATCTTGACTATTAAGAATAGAATTAAAGTCAAACACTCAGAAAAAAACATATTGAAAAAATACCACCAATACTAGAATTACAGATCACAGAAATCTTGACTTCTTAAAAGACTTGGTCTGTTTCATGATTTCGAGAAAAAGAACATATATTCTGTGCAAACAGACCCGAAAGAAGCAATTTCTGTTGGGAAGGGGGAGATTTAAATCTTTGACCAGCCAAGAAAATTATCATCTTATGATAAGACATTACATGAAGTGCATGTATACTGATATATGTACAGTGTATATGGGAGTTCAATAGCATGAAGCATTCAGTATTTTATTGAAATTATGAGTATATGATCCTGCTGCAAAATATCAGATTTTAAGCTCAAGGCTTTGACAAATACAGGCTTTTGTGATGTGTAAAGGTCACGTGTACTGTCTCCCAGTAATTCATATATCTTCCACTCCTATCCACAAAATCTCAACCATTAGTTCAACGGAAGCCCCACTTACGCATGTATAGCAATAGCAGGCACCTAAATGTGGATTTACAATGTAATATAGTGTTATAAGTGAAAAGAATTATTTAAAATTTAGTACTTGTTTATGAAACTGATTAGGATAAAAACATTCAGTGAACTTTCATGCTAAAATATCATTTTGGTGACCTATAAAAGACCTATATTTTCCGTTTTCACCTCACTGGAAAGGCCAATAATACGTGAAATTCCGAAACAAAGGATTACCACTTCTTGGCTGTGATTGCTTATGTGTATAGAAAAAAGTTGTTCTCTTGTTCTCTTAGTCCATACTTAACTCCTTATCATATACCATACCGTCACAGTATTGAATAGTGTATCCAAGATTAGAGATTGGGGCTTACAATGGAATAATTCAACCTTCTATATTAAATGGTGTGTTCAATTGTGGTGCTTGTATGAAGTGAGTGAATGTTCATCATGAACGATTCGTTGCTTTCTGCAAACAAGACACAAAGAATTATCGACGACCCTGTATTGCTACAAATTGGGAATGACATTGCAGTGCAAGATTACTTAATTCCAAGTCTTATTCTAACCGTTTTAATGATCATTATTGGCATTCCTGGAAATATCCTTATCATTGCAGTTTACATGAAGAGATGGCGAAAATCTACAAGCAGAATATTCATCCTTGCTCTAGCTTTCAACGATTTGTTTAATTGCTTATTCACAATGCCAGTTGAATTGTACTATATCCTAAACATTCTTCAAACTGACGATTCAAATCTTTGCAAAACTTCTCGGTTCCTTACTTTTTGGACAAATGATGGGTCTTCATTGATATTAATGGGCATTGCCTTTGATAGATTACAACGCATTTGTAAACCTTTTAAGATTCAACTGTCTATATCTACAGCAAAAAAGATTGTTGCCGTTTCAATGTTGGCGTCTTTAGCGGTAGCCTGGCCATCTCTTTTGATATATGGAACAGCAAAAGTACCTGTTACAGTTGGCGAAAATAAAATTTATGCCAAAATGTGTTTGTATTCCGATAACATTCGTATAGACCCAACAGTTTTTGTGTTTTTCATAATGACAGGGAACTCTGTGCTTGATGTGTTTTTTCTTGTTGTTTACGGAATAATCTTGTATCATGTCAAAAATGCTGGAAAAGAACTTAGGAAGATGTCTAGAGCAAATCTTTACTCAGACAGCGGATGTCGTAAAATGTCTCTGACAGACGGCAGTAACCATAATTGCTCTCATAACGTGACATCGGTAGAGAAGACCTCAAATAAAGAAATTCAAAAAACGTCCAAAGGAGAAATTAAACCTTCCACTAACAGACGGTCTTCTCCAGAAGAACCACTGACCGCTGCCACGAAACGGAAACTTTTCTCCGAGGGTCGACAAAATCACCTAAGCTACACATGTTATGGTGAAAGTCGCAGAACTATTTTCTCAACCCAAGACAATTACCGTAAGAGAAAAACAACAATTATGTTGTTTGCTGTGACACTTTTATTCATCATATCTTTTGTACCGTATACGGTACTAATGACCATTCGAAACTTCGATTCTGAATTCTACAGTCGCCTAAGTGATTCTGAAAAGACAGCTTATCATTTCTTTATTCGCTCATTTTTCCTATCAAATGCTCTGAATCCCCTTATTTACGGATTCGTAAGTGAACACTTCCGAAGTGAGTGTAAGAGCGTCCTCAAAAACATCATGTGTTGTTAAGAGATGAATGTCACTGCCCGATAAGTGTAGATAAAGAGGGTACTGAGAACTTGTACGTGTGAGTCAATTTATTTGTTCTTTTCCCCACACTTAAGGACGAGATATTATTTTGAAACATAATATAATGTTGTTAATGATGTGCACACACTAAGTGGTTTGATATGATTAATACTCAGAAAGTAGCATATATCATTTGCAGAAAGGCATTTTGTTGAAAATTTTCACACCCCCCCCCCCAACTCAAGTCATTCCAGGGATCCGTGCACATGTCTTTTCATTGTTTGTGATTAGCTAGATTTATTTTTGATAAATGATTTATTCTTCAGTACAGTATAGCTACTGTTCTAGAAAAAAAAATTCAAAATTTAAAACTTCTACTATTGCAACCCTGTTTGTTTGATTTAAGGACCCTCCTCTATATTCACTGCACACTAAAGAGTTCCAATTTTCTTGTATTTTATGCACTTAGAGTGATCTGCCCTTAGATCTAAAATCAAATTAATTGAAATCTACAGCATAATACTCTATCTTTAATCAATGTTTTCATTTTTACTTTACTTATATGTTCTTTCTAAGACCGTGGTTTAGGTAAGGTTGGAACATGTATTACTCATAAAGAAATGCATATTATGAGATATAGTTGCTGCATCTCCATAAATGTTTAAATGAAGCTGGAAACATTGAAGATCATTTGTTATACATGTATTTACATGTAGTTTATGTTTCATTACTATGAACGAAAAATACAATGTTATTGTTTGGAACAAAATCAGATTCTCGTAAATCTGTATAATCATCGCAGTTATACCCGAATATTTTCACTTTCCGTGGTTTCTACATGTATTGATACATCTACATACCATTGAGAATCGGTAATTTGGAGACAGAATGTCATCCAGTCTCCTCTAGCAATTGTAATCGTTTGTATCACATTTTTAATTCATTATGAAGATAAATTTGTGATTTACCTGCTTTTGAGGAATACTCTCTCTCTCTCTCTAAATACTAAATACTACAAGTAAGTATATTTTCATCTTTAATTAATAAATTCAGACTTTGTTTGCATAGTTACATGTATATTCATAAGATTTTTCATTCTTTTTTTGGTGACAAAAATGTAAATTTCAATGTTTTATGATGTTGAAAAAATAAATATCAATAAATGATATATATTGGTAGATTGGATCTTTAATTCGTGAACACAGAACATGCCGAGTAAGAAAGAGTACCACATGGGTGATAAACCCAATACATATTCAATGAGAACACATGTACACAAGTCATCAGAAGATTTAAACTTTCAAAAATAAGTGACGGAAATCTCAATTGCAATAGTACATGTAAGTGGATGCTTTGTAAAGATAATGGAACTAAAGATCTGGGATGAAAAAGAAGCGAAGACAGAGTGGAATCGATGTTAGCTTTGTTGTTACAATTAGTGATTATTTTTTGGTAAATTACTTTAAAGTGTGAGAAAAAGTTTGTGATTACAGAAGTTCGTTGACTTAGATGTTTACTGGCTTAATGATTTCCAGAAAAAATGCGCCTTTAATACATGTAAAAAAGAAATACGCAAAAACATCCCTAACAGTTCTAACTGAGTGAAGTACTAAAAACTAAATGAATAAAAATGAAAAAAAACAACATAAAAACCAAACCAAACAAATAAAACAACTTGTTTATCAAAAAAATTACTGTCTTTAATATCTGATAGCTATATACCAGGGTATCTATGACGTGTAAAACGTTGCATTATTATACTTTTTTGTTATTCCTATTCAAAAATTTTGCTATTCTTATTCTTAAACATATCGTTCCTATTCGATATTAAAATGTGATTCCTATTCGATAAGTTATTATTCTTATGCAAAAAATGTGTTTTCTATTCGGTAATTTATCATTCCTATTCGATAATTTGTTATTTCTATACGAAAACATGTGATTTCTATTTGATAATTTTGTCATTCCTATTACATAATTTTGTCATTCTTATTCGATGATTAAATGGTTTATATTCGATAAACATGTTATTCCTATTGAAAAACATATCATTCTTATTCGAAAACACACAATTCCTATTCGATAATCTTGTTATTCCTATTCTATAAATTGATCATTCTTATGCGACATTTTTTTTTCTTATTCTTATTCAATAATTATGTTTTCGAATAGGAATGATATGTTTTCGAAAAGGAAAAACAAGTTTATTGCAAATAAATAACACAATTATCAAATAAGAATGGTAAAATTGTCGAATAGGAATGACAAAATTATCGAATAGGAATCACATGTTTTCGAATATGAATGACATGTTATCGAAAAGAAAACACACGTTTTCGAATATGAATGATATATTTTGGAATAGAAATCACATTTCTTCCAATAGAATTAACAATTTATCGAATACGTAGATATGACAAATTATCGAATAGGAATTACATTTTTTCGAATAGAATGACATGTTTTAGAATAAAGAATAATATTTTTTTTGAATAAGAATAACAAAAAAGTATAATAATGCAACGTTTTACACGCCATATGTATCCATATGTACAGTACAGAAATACAAATATTATTGCATTTTTATAAATTACAAAATATTATATCTTGATATTTTTAGAAAAACTAAATTACTTCATTATATCTTTATTTCCACAGGTTTGGTAGATTGATTGATTGATTCTATGTTGTTTAACGTCCGAGTTGAGAGATTTTCACTCATACAGAGACATGGTTTCAGAGATACAACTGTAATTGACTTTTCAGTAATATTTTATAGCACTATTCCCTTTTTAAAATTAAAATTAAGAAAAATCTCTTAACTGTTAAACTGTCAGTGTCCTGATGGTTTGGAGTTGTTCTTGATTCTATCAACAAAACTTTCATTATTTACTGATATAACATGTAAAGAGAATGTCGTGGAGTGGTATACTGTCATTGATCAGGATCTGATTATAAACAAGAGGATAGACAGCTAAATGAGTAAAAAGTCGGATTTGAGATCGATTACTGTTCGTTATCTTCACATTTTTCATTTCATCATAACTTGCGGAGCAAAATTTGACAGAAATAGCCTTTCAGTTCGACAATTTTATAAAGGAATGATAGTCATTTATCCCAGTGAAAGTTATCTCTCTTATCAGAGGCTCAATGTACCTGAAGAATTGACAACAACAGGGTTTGCACAGAAAAGAATAATATTAGGTGTACGGGAGTGTATATATAGAAGGAGCCATAACCAGACACAGAGAGAAAGAGGATGACTGGGGAGCTAAGAAAAGGAAAGCTGATGTGATAAGGATCTGTAGCATTCTGAACTTCCATGCCGCAGTGACTGGAAAGAAGATTATGAATGATACTCCTCCAGAATTGTCATATCTTACATAGCTATGATATCTTTATCATACTGTTGTCTTTCATACTATATGATACTAGCAAGTAAAATGCTGGAGAAGTATCATCATAATCCAAAATGCCATTTATCAATCGGATCTTTATATTTAATGAAAACTAAAATTCGTTATAAGATATAAAGCCGACGTGGACGTTAAGAATGCTGGAGATCCTTATCACATAGCTATATGATCTTTATCATCCTGTAATTTAACTCTTAAATGTTCCTCATAAGTAAATGTAATTTTTAGTGTAAAACAAACGGTTTTACATCTCCAGAATTTTACTTATGAGAGACAACAGCTAGTTACAGAATGATAGAGATCAACAGCTATGTAAGAAATGAAAATTCTAGAGAAATTTTGGATGACTTAGATTTTTAAAAAAAAAAGGAAATAGTTTTTGTCTGCAGTTAATTATAGAGATAAATATCATGCTTTCTTTTAACATGTTCTCTCAGATAGTTAGAATGTCAAAACTAATATAAAATTTTTTTAGGGAAAAAAGTAGGGATATTAAGAAGAATTTATTTTTAATCAGACTGGTGGTATGTAAAAGTTGTCACTTACTTCCAGGGCATAAAACACAGACCCCTGGAAATTCCAGAGCTTTATTGACTTCAATTGCTTTGTAGACACAGGTCCGTAGGAAGCAATTTCAGTTTGGGGGGGGGGGGGGGGGCACAGCCAAACATTTTTCAGTTGACAGTTGAGGGGGCACTACCAAAAATTTTCTGACAAGCAAAAAAAAAAAAAGGGCGTCATCTGCCAACTACCAAATATTCCTCGACAAACAAAAAAAAAGGTCATCAGGAGGTTTTATTGAGGGGGCACAAGCATTTAGTATCTATGTTTACTATAGTAATCTATATATTGGCAAAATTATTGGGGGGGGGGGGGCACGGCCCCCCCTCCCCCGTGCCCCCGGTTCCTACGGCCATGAGACAAGTGAGATGATTGAAGAAAGAAATGGTGTGGGGTCTGTGAAAACAGTTGCATCAGCCAAAAAGGAATGAATAAATAAATAGATAATAAATGAGAACAATTTTTAAAAAAAATCAAAACCAAAAAGAACAGAAAAAAATAATATTGAAGTGGATTTTGAAAATAATTTGTTCTGTATTTGACATATTTTTTGAAATGCAGTCTTATTATTATTGCAGAACTACTTCTTATTCAAAGCCTTTGAAACCATGTAGAAAAAAATATTTCTGATATAATTATATATAAATATTAATATGTACATGTATATATTAATATAAATATTAATGAACTGTGCATAACCCAAGGAAGAAAAGAAAAAAATAAAAAACAGGCAACGTTACATACTTTTTTTTTATCCCGATGTTGATATCAAATTCTTTATTTCTTACAGCTCTTTACAGTCAAAATATTTATAGTTGTTTTTAATTTTGTACAATCTATTTGTTCTTTATTTTAAAAATGTATAGCGTGCTGTTGTTAATACGAATGAAATATTCTTCAACTGCAGAATACAAACTAGTGTTTGTGATTATGGATGTTGCCCATGTGCCACCATGTGTGTCGGAAGATAATCCTGACTCTACCCGTCGGTTCCTTAAACTTAAATTTGACAACAAAGAAATAGATGCTTGTGAACATAAGTAACATTCTTAATCATAATTTAAGAAGTTCAGTCTTGCATTCCACCATATTTTAAGTTGAAGTCTACACTTTGCATTTCCTACAGATATTCCCAAACTGTTGCTTCCAAATTTTTCAGATACAAAGAAACCCTACAGTGCCTGGATACCGAGCATCTAAAACAAAATTCTCTTTTAAGTGTTCTTGCTCTTCTTCTTCTTTCAACTACAGTCACGCTAGACACGTCATTACTGGTGATGTTAATAAAGTTGAAAATGAAGACATAAAATCAATCATCGTAAAGGGTCCTAAATACAGCGAGCCCCGGTCTTTCAACTGGCAACAGAACTTCATATTTATTATGAATTCGGCAGAAGATTATGCCAAACGTTTGGCTAAATATGTAAAGGAAGATCCAAACACTTTGTGAGAATGGATTAAATGTTTTAAAAATATATTAAAGAATCGTATTAGAAAGGCAAAATGCGAACCATATATCCTTCCGTTTTCACCAAAAGAATTAGAGAGACTACATGAACATTATGTTATGG